ATTGATCCCAAACTGGGAAATTGTGGCGTTACAGCAGCAGGTTGTCCAAACACACAATATGAGTAAAAAACCACAATATTAGCAAATCTAAACACAATATGATATTAAATACAAAGTAAATAAGCACAAAAAATATCAAAACTAAGAATGGGAATATATACAACCAGGATTTAATTAAACATTACTAGTCTTAAATATGAAAGATTAAATGTAAATGTGCAAAAGCAGAGTTGTAAATGGACAGTATTGACATACATATAGTTGTACATTGTGATTAATTGTGCAGCCCTAGTTGAAACCTGTCGAAACCACAACAATAAAACAATAATTCAATTAAATTATAGGCTTCTTAATGGCTTATTGACACCTTTTGCTTTGCTCTTAATGTCTTCCTGTTGATGCAAATCCACTTTTAACTAGTGAGAGCAGATTTAGTCAACAATAGAATAGAATAGAATAGAATTACTTTATTGATCCCAAACTGGGAAATTGTGGCACACAATATGAGCAAAAAACACAATATAATATTAAATACAAAGTAAATAAGCACTAAGAATATCAAAACTAAGAATGGGAATATATACAACCAGGATTTAACTAAGCATTACTAGTCTTAAATATGAAAGATTAAATGTAAATGTGCAAAAAACAGAGTTGTAAATGGACAGTACTGACATAAGTTTAAGTGCATGAGTGTAGACATATCAGGAGAAACTATTCAATATAACAGTGAGTACACAGCCAAATGAAGTGAACTGGTTAAAGTCAAGGACAGGACAAAGTTTGTGTTGTAACTTGTGTATTCTGAATCTAAAGAGCTGTATTTTGCAAAGCTATTCAAATAATTATGACCCGAGAACAATCATAGACAGAGTGTTTACAGATATTCATCGATGCTGACAGGTGTCAGGTGGTTTTCGTAAAGTAGAAGCCTGTATAAAGATACTCAACGATATAAACTACTGGGATTTTACACAAACATTTATCAAGAAATGAACCAAAACAGGTAAAGATTTTAAATATATGCAGATGATCAAAAACTTCATTTTGTCTGTATTTAACTGTCTACATTTTCTTACTATGTCACAAAAGCCAGGAAAAAAAAGACAAGCCCTTTAATATAGTTCTCCTGTTTTACATGTTATAAAGGGCACAATAGGCCAGTCATAGTTGTATGCATGACACCATCATAAAAAAACCTTTTACAATGTGAATCAATGAGTGCACTCTTCAGAGTGGAGTGTTTAACCACACTGGTTAAGCCCATATTTTAACCTAAGAACAACAGATAAATCCTCCAGATTGTCCCTCTGAAAACATCTTTGACATAACACTTAGGCTTCAGTATATAAGCCCTGCACATGCCTAAACCAAGAGAAGGCAGAAAGTGTCTCTATTTTAGAGGATTTAAGAAGGATTAAAAGGCTTCAGGCCAGGTGAAGTCTGCTCATCTCATCTCATTGATTATTTACAAAGGTTACAATTCTGTTAATCTACAAATTGACAACAACGTATTGTCCCCAAAATACTAAAACTAACCTGCATGACTTTTACATGGATTAAAGCCTCATAAAATGAGTCTGTGTTTTCATGGCATGTTGAGATGATAATATGGAGACCAGCCTGCAGGTGGATTGGACTGAACTGGTCTTATCATACTGTTGTATTCAAATGAGAAACAGAAAATACGAGAGAACTACACCTTGTCATTAAAGCGGTCTTTAACTTACTCAAATCGACCTGAGTGCTGTCAACGACTCTGAAGTGCTATGAGACCTCAACAGTGATATCACAGTGGAGGCACATGCTGGTTTCTGGTGGTTAACTTGTGTTCAGTATCTTGTAATGTCTGAAGGTTTGTTTGTGTGACAGTTGTATCAGCACCTGGTTAACTTTACTGATACCTCATTATACAGATTAATTCTTTAGATTCCTTAGGCGTCCTTAATAACCTCTAAAAAATCTAGTCCATCTCAAAAATGTTCATGTCAGTGATCTTTTTCTAATGGTTTGTGTGTTTATTTGAAAGGAGAGGTTTGTGTTCTGATACTTCATGAAGAAAAGCACATAGCTTTGATTAATTGCATACTGTATACACCTGACCTGTTAAGTGTAGCCTGCCTGAATTTGAAACACCTGAAACACCTGTTGTTGTTGTTGTTGTTGTTACTATCATTCTTGTTTTTTAAATAAATTGGGAAAAGTGAGCTGGATTTAGATGCTCTTTTCAGAGTTTGAGCTAGAAGAATCTATAACGACAAGAGACTCATTTGGACCTAACACGTGTCCTTCACAATATGAGAAAATATACAAAGTGTGATTACATAGTTCTATGTTGCAGTAACTACTGAGTTTGTTACATTAGCATTGATACGTGTAGTTGTAACAGTGTGTGTCTTTCGTGGCGGCTTCCATGACAGACAAGACATGTCTATCGTTGGAAACAACAGATATTACGTCAAAGACCGCTGCGTAAAGAAGCAGGAACTGCTACTGAAAGCTGCCTTTCTGTTGCTGGATGTGCTGCTGTGATAAAAACCTCATGTTAAATATACTTGGATACATCGTGGTAAACATACTCTCTTCCTCAGGAGGGTTACAAGTATATTATATAATCATATTTTTGCTATAAATCCAGAATTTTGCTTCACTTTTGAATGCATGATACTCATATTGTAATAACACTGACATTGCCATTAATGGTGTAGCACCTATAATAATACTCTCAGTTAGTTTCTCATATCGCCATGGAAACGTCTATAACCTCTTCATTAATTAGTCCCATGAGCTTGTCAAAACAACATGTAGTCAACCTTTCAACAAACTGAAACTAGATTGTCAGCATGTTCTGGTTCTGTTTTTTAGCCTCATCTTACAGACTTACCACTAGAGGGCAGCAAATCCCAAGTCTATATAGGCTTGCAAAATCTATTTATACAGTTTATGTCACTCTGGTTTCATTCTCTGATTTGGTGATAAGCCACACACACACGACCCCAGCTCCATGTGTAGATCTGGTAATGATTCAATCAGATTTATGTGTTTCAAGATTTCCAGATATCAGAGGTCACTGTGTATCTCCTCTCTGTGTTTAATTAAGCATTTTAGTTTTACATTCTCTGCACTAAATGTTGCTTTGTATACTCAAAGGACCCTCTAATCCGCCTCACATGACCATCTACCCTGTCAGGCAAGGCGAGGTCATATGTTGCCTACCTCTAAACCAAGTCTGGGAGTCCAGAGAGAGAAAAAAAGAAGTGTGAATGATGCTTCTGTGTGTTTGTAATGACACAATCCACAATGCCTACATCTGTGCATCCTGACTTGTACAAGTATTTCACGTGATTGTTGCACACACACTTTCGCATGCATGTGTGTTGCATATTTGTCAAATTAAAGTTTGCCCAGCTTGTTTGAGGGCGAATGGAGAGCCGTCTCTGATAAATCAAGTTGTAGTTTTGTTATCTGAAATTGCTCAGCAACATTCCTGCATTTTCTTAGACTCTAACACACTTCTCCTCGCTGACTGGAAGCTCTGTGCCATGCAGGCATGGAGACATGTGACTAATTTGTTATCTGTGACTGAGGAGGCTTTTCACAGTGGCTGAGTAATTTAGTTTGTATGGATTTGTTGTGGGATTTGAACTGCAGTAAAGTTAGGATTTTGATCCTGAACATTGTTTTCTGAAGGCAGTCAGCCTTTTTCATGTTGGTCTATTTGTTAAGACACAACTTTTTCATCCTGCATCTATAAAGCAATCATTTTCAACCAGTGACTAAAGGAAAATATGCTCATTTATGTAACTGAAATTATGATCTTTTAAATCGTGTCATTTAATTAATTTCTCAGTCTGCTGTTTTCTTAATGTGTCTTTAATTCTTCAGCCTATAAACAACCATGACCAGTGAAAAATGTCCGTCTTTTCTTTCCCAAAAACCCATGCAGAGTTAAGAGGCTAAAACAGAATTTAGCTTTATTTCTCTCAAATTATCAAACATTTTTATACATTATCAAATTTTTATTTTAAAGTGCCTTGGTAGTGATCAGAGACTTTTCCTGTACCGTCATTGTGTGCAGGTCGGAAGTTATAAACAAGGAAAGTTCACAAAATCGGGGTGCCCTGGGCTTTGTTTCCATGGTAACGAAACAGGTATTGATAAAGTTTAGAATTCTGGTGTTCTGGTATTTGTAGTAAAAAGGCAGCGAATGCTCGACGCTGACGGACTGCGGCGTGCACAGAGAATGTGGAAATTGGGAGTTAATCCCAATCCTCCCAAAGAGTTCAATTGGGAGTGACCCCCAATATCTACATACTCTCCGTCAGCGCAAAACCGTGGCGCTGACGAACCGCTGGGTTTGAAAAACATGAGACAAAAACAATCAGTGAGTCTGACTGAACTAAACGACGGTGTTATTGTAGACATGTGTAGTAAGTCATTGTCTGAGACTTTTAGGGACTAAGGTAATTTTCTCTCAAACAAAAGAGGAGAAAGAAAAAACGTGCTCCCTCCCAGAAACCTTTTTCTAACATTCACATCTCAACGGGTATTTCCTGGCATTCATTTTGCCGCTGTTATCTTACATGTGGGCCTGTCCTGTGCTGGCCAAACTTGGCAGCGTATTCTCTCTCAGCTTGAGTGGATTATCGTGCAGTCACAGTGGAGGTGATGAAAAGTGTTGCAGTGTTTACCCTCCAGTGTAGATAAGGCCCTCCTTTTTTTTCTTTTTTTTTTGTTTCACCCTAAAGGGAAGTGACCACAGTCTCACAGACACAGAGTCACATACACAGAGAGACAGCAGGTGAGATTGAAAACTAAATCTACATCAGTGAGACGAAAGCTGACCTACAGGAAGTTACTCAAGGAACGTGGTCGACGGCAGAAGAAAAAAAAGTCTCATCTGAGCAGGCTCTACCCTCAAGCATGACTTGTTGTTTAATAGCTGACAGGGCATCTTGTGACTTTTTTTTTTTTTGCCCAAGAGAAGAAGAAGGGAGAAGTGAATGACAGGAACGAAGCCGGCGGAGCGTGTGCCGTTTTTTCCCACTCTCTCCAGATCTGACAGTTATGAACAAGAGCGAGAAGGAGAAGACAACTGTAAATAAAGCCGAGAGACACACAGCCTGAAGGAAAGTGATTACCACGACTCTGCTCCACTCCGGAGTTACTTTAAATCCAGTCAGTTTGGACGCTTCACAGAAGGAATGCTTTACTGAACAGCTGTGGAGGACGGGCGGTATGGATGCTGGTTTGTCTTCTCTGCGCTCGGACGCCGTGGGAGCCATGAGGACGGCGCTGGTGTCTGCTGAGAGCTTACAGCTCAGTCTGAGGACCGGACTCAGTCAGGAGGAACAGGCCCTCACACAAAACAAACACAGCCCCAAGGAGATACACAAAAGCGGGTACTGTTCTGTAGTAAGAGTAACCACAGCACTCTGATGGGGACTTACAGTCAATGATATTATTTAACCTTTGACACAAGTTTGTTATCGTTGTTGCTCAGCTGGAAGTTTGCAACATCCTGTAATTAAATCCTTGTAGCCCATTGCATCTTCTTAAAAAGTCTGCCCTAAAGTCATTTAAAACAACACATTTATTATTTAAATATAAATGTATGGTCCAGCCTTCTAACGTAAACCTCACAATGATTCATAGAATTTGAATGAAACTACTCTTCAAACTTTGAATTAAGACATTTGAGTTACTCTAACGAGTTATTAAATAGACCTGATTTAAATTGCACAGCTGTGTTTTTAAGCCACTTCATCATTTAAGTTACTAAACGTCTCACAGTGACGATGTTAAAGACCAGTGTTTACAGTTTTACCATCCAAGTTTAGCATCTTAGCATGGTTACGCTCGCTAATTAGCCCAAAATATACTAGGTACAGTTGAGGCTGATAGGCATGTCATGAGCTTTTCAAATATTTGGTCATGAATCAAATTATTTGCATGTGAAGATGGTGTTAGAGGCAAAGTCAAGAGATGGCATTCGCCCATCAGGCGGCGAGTTGAGCGCTTTGGACGGGATCCCTAGCGTCCTCGCCTGAAGCAGCGGAGCCTTAATTTTGATTTCACAAATACAGTCCCGCCTAGGACTTCTGTTTTTGTTGCCATGGTATCGGAACAGGTGTCACTGCTGATTTGTACTTGCATCATATATCGAGGTTTGAAATTCAGATATTGTTGACAACCCTACTTTGTGTGTGTGGGACAAACACTCGTTCAGTGGCTCAATGACAGTGTGTCACAGTATTAGCCGAGGAATGAGCATTGTTAGACCATGTGAGTGCAAATTTAGCAGACTTAGTAAAGCTGACATTCTTACTGTTGTGTTGCTGTTGATTGTCAGATTAATGGAGGCTCCTATAGGCCCAACATTGTACGGATCAGTTTGGTCTTCAGGGGTCTATGTGACCCTTCATGTGTTCCCTGGAATCAGTGAAGCGGACACAGATGTTACATACATGCAGCTTTCACACTACCTTTGGTCAAGCTTTAACTCTTGAAGCTGATTAGTCGCGACATGCCAGCGGTGCTCACTGGGCCTCCTCTGTTGTTCACCATAATATAAACAGTGTATGTAACAGTGTAAGTTACAGAACCCCCAAGAGGACATGCATTCATACATTTTGTGTAACTCCATTTTCCCATGATAACAAGTAATTTCTGCTTGTTTTCTCAAGATCTCTGATCCTTTTTAACAGCGTTACCACAAGATAACAACTTTAGTTTTAGACTGATAACGAGTTGGTCTCTCCACAACTTGGGAAAACCACTGAAATGAACTTTTTATCACATCAAACCAGCGTTGTTATCCTGAAATCATGAGATAAATACATTGAGACTGTATATTTTATCATAGAAAATGAAGTAAAATAAATGGCTGCGTGTCCTCTTTGGGCTTCCGTAGTTAAGCGTATGATTTAACTAATTGTTTTTTCTGTCGTCAGGAATGAAGACCTTAAGGAGATGTTGGAGAGCAACAAGGAGTCGCTCAAACTGGAGGCCATGAAAAGGGTCGTAGGGGTGAGTGCATCATGGGTATTCTCATATATTCTTTTTAAAATGACTAACAGGGTTGATGTGTGTTCTCTCAGCTGTTAGATTTAACATTAGAGATAAAAATGTCTGATTATTCTTTTTGTGTTTTCAGCTGATTGCCAAAGGGAAAAACGCCTCCGAGCTGTTTCCTGCTGTCGTGAAGAACGTTGCGAGTAAGAACATTGAGGTATGACATTTTTCAGGAGTTTATTGCAGTTAAAAAAAAAAACAACAACCCTTTAATACATTTATCATCTGTAGGGTTGGTTTTTATGACTCATTAAATTTGCGAGACACAGCATGTGATTACTCTGCGTGACATTACGGAGGAAACTTCCTCAAACGGGAAAAAACCAGAAGGCTGATTGAAGCCATCTTCACTTAAAAGCATTTGCTAAATTAAGTTATTACTTTCATGCTCAATTAAGTTTTTTACAACAGACAAACTTAACAGAGAATGACGCAAAAAAACAAAGAATAAAGATTATTCAGGTCGGTCAGCACATCTATATTTTGTACATTGAAATATTTACTGTATACAAACAAAACAAACAACCACTTTTAACTTTCAGCACGATCTTAAGCGTATTCACGTTTAATTTAATTTTGAAACACATACACACATGTTGAAGTTTCTAATCTTAGATTTTTACACTCAACCTTTAGGTGCATTACACATTTTGTGGAGGATTAAAAACACAATTAAGATTCTGGGATTGAAAAATTAAAGTCCTCTGTTGTTGTTTTTTTGGGTCAAATTCTTCTTGTACTATTTCAGCCTTTTTGAGACTTTAACAGTAAAGTACAAAAAGAGAGGGGGGGGGGTGTAACACAGACAGAAAGTCACTCAGTCATCTGATTAGATTTTTCTTTTAATCAGTGTATTAAACTGTTAAACTATCTTTCTGCAACAGGTGACACCTTCTATTGATTTGAGCCTGTTCAGCTCTGAGTGAGGTTTTTAAATCGAGCTTTTAAATTCTTTTTGGGCTTTCAAACCAAACACCATGGTAGGAAGTAGTGGACAAAGCCTCTTGGTTTTAAATGTAAAACGTATGCAACGTATACGCGCACTAACCACCACGCTACCGGTGTCCTGTACAGTACAAAAACAACATAGAGAAATTGATGCAGCAGCAAAAGTTAAAACGTGCAGTCGAGGCCGGTTTAAATCTTTAATTGTTAAATCATGTGACGTGTGAGCAATGAAAGATGTGTTCTCGGACTATTCCAGTGACTGACCTAACACTAAGCAACAGCTCGAGAGGGGTTCCCATACCCTGAGCCTGTGAATATTGATTAGCAGCAGCAGAATAATCAGGTAGTGGTGAGGGGGCGGCGTGTGAGCGGGGGGTCCTGTAGCTGGTCGCTGTGTGTAAGGCATGCAGCAGAAGCAGCTCATGGCAGGGTAGTGGAGCAGGTGGGTGGAGGTAATTGGCAGGAGAAAGCCCACAGTCACGTCTCCTCTCTCCGCGCCTCAGATACACCAGCTGCTAAGGTAGCGCAAGTTTCCCCCCTCTCTCTCTTGGTTTCTGTTCCTCGCTCTCCAACATTTGCCTCACTTGGCAGCATGTTGCTCTAAAAATGGCCGCTTTGATCCGCTCTGATGAGGAAACAACACAAGCACATGCATGTTATTGAAAAGGCTGCATGATTTAATGTTGACAAACTTTAATTTTCTTGGATCACTTCTGGTCCTTCACTTTAATTTATCACATAAAAGTGTGTGTTTTGCCTTCTATAGACTTCTATGAGTGTATATTGAAATGACATGTGAAGAAATCATCAAAAGGTTTTAATTTAGTCTGAAAAAAGTTGCTTTTTATCAAATAGTAACCGGGTCAAAATAAATACGCTTTGTGCTTCATGGACATTGAACAGATCCTGCATTATGTTTTTTTTTTAAACCAGAGCAGCTGTTGTTTATTTGCTCTCTTCAAAACCACCATACTACACTCACAGATACAATAATTTGACCTTGCACAACAGGGATGATACCTTTCTACTCTTACTCTGATTGGTTAGTTTGTTCTTGTTATTGTGTGTTACCAAAATATTTATTGGATCCGTCCTTGGACACCGAAGACACAATAACACCTACAACCCAACCAACAGCTGCTGCAGATAAGAAACTTGTGTTCTGCAAGTGGAAAATCACTGTTTCCACCAATAGAGTCTGGTGACTCTGCAAAGAGTCGCACAAACAGAGAAGGCCTATCTCTTCAGAGAGCCCTTGTCTAATGTTGTCAGTCCGTTTAAAGAGGACGTATTATCCCCTTTTCTACTTTCCAAACAGTCCCCCTGTGGTCTAAATGAAACATCTGTGCTGTGCTTTGGTCAAAATATAACATGAATCAAGCACCAGAGGAGGTTTGTGACCCTGTATGAACAAGCTCTCTCGGAACGCTCCGTTTTGGTGTGTGTGTCTCTTTAAATGCAATGAGCCCCCCTGAGATTTCCCGGTAGACATCACTCCTCTGTAGCAAGATTAAAAATGGCCGACATGCGCAAAAGTTTTGTTCTAGGCTGGGGGTCTGAGTCCATGGGTGGAGATACCAGGGGAGGGGAGGGGATTTTTTTTTTTTTACCAGAATCCCACTATGACATCACAAGGAGAGCAAATTTGAAAAAAGCATTTTTCTCCGTGTTGTAAGACTTATGCAGACCACAAATAAAGGACCGGATGGATTTATTTCACATTTTGTGGGTCAGTAGACACTCAGGTTACCCAAATATATGTTTAAAAACACTGTAAAAGTGGATATTTCATAATGTCCCCTTTAAATAATAATCAGAGCCTGTCGGGGAGATGGGGTTAATTTGTCTGCAGGGATTATGTTTAAACCGTTAAAGCCGGTTTTGTCGCTGCTGCTATCAGATGCAACAAAATTTGCTAGAAATAATTCAAAACCCAAAATATGTTAGAACAAGGGACCAGGTCTATACCAGCGGAATGTCCCTTTAAGGGCCAGATGGGTGGTGTCTCTTTTTATAGTGAGTAATGCCATTAATTCCAGCAGTAATGACCAGAACGATGATTGAGAACTGTGGAGCACTGCTGCAGGTCGATACTCACTGCATTAGAAGGCTCGGTGCTGATTACTAATTAAGCTCTCGGGATTGTACCTAAAATGTTTTATTACCCCTGACCTCGACCTTAAACCGGCTCTTAGATTTATTTAGAAATGGTTCATGAAGTCCGTCATCATTTCTTATAACCAGTTTTATTCTGGTTCCATTACTCGTAAATCTGCAGCCTCAAAGGAAGAAATCAGCGAGGGTAATTCTTGGATCTGAGAAGCTGTAGTGAATCAGCCGGAGGTTTAACCTTTGGCCTCTGGCTACATGGGGCAGAACGCAGCGCAAATGTTATGTCAGGCCTTCCTGTGAGAAAAGACGACATGTAGAAGCCAAAACACAAGACAGGGGGGGGGGAATTCAATGGCAATTTCTAAAAAGAAACAAAAAATCCTTCTCTGCCTGAAACAACACAGCATCGTGTCTGCATCTGGTGATATCTGTTAAACGTTCTTTACCGACTTCTCTCCCACCCCTTGAAATAATAAACTTACAAGTTCTGCAGAAAAGTTTGGTTAAGAGGAGACTCTCCCCGTTGTTTCATTCAATTCTGTTTTTTTTCTTCAAATAGAGGTAGAAACATGCAGCACGTCCTGGCACTGAAAGTTTGAGAACACAGCTGGTTCCACAGATTGTTTTCCCCATGTGCTGCTTTAATTTTCTCCCCCAGCTGTTTGGATTGATTGCTGTTTGACTGTAATTGTCCTTTGCAGCTTAAGAAGCTGGTGTATGTGTACCTGGTGAGGTACGCAGAGGAGCAGCAGGACCTGGCTTTGCTTTCCATCAGCACCTTCCAGCGGGCCCTCAAGGTAACATTTACCCTAATTTATTTCTCTTCTTTTTAACTCACATATAAATATACCATTATGCTGTGATCCTAACCATGTGCTTTACCATAAAGTACAGGACATTAAGGTCGGTGCTGTGAGGAGCCTTGATGTTCTTATGCTTCCAATTACGATCACATGATCACAGTTATTTTGGTATCCACACATTTTCTGATATCCAGCTGTAAGATAACTTCCATTTTTTTTGTACACCAGAAGGTAGATATTAATTAGGAATTTTGGCTGAAATTAGACCCATTAGTGGAAAACATCACTCTACAAATGTTTTTTTTTTCTGTGTTTCTACCACAGGACCCAAACCAGTTCATCAGAGCCAGCGCACTGAGGGTTTTGTCCAGCATCCGGGTCTCTATAATCGTCCCCATCATGATGCTGGCCATCAAGGAGTCAGCGGCTGACCTGTCCCCGTATGTCAGGAAGACCTCCGCCCATGCTATCCAGAAGCTCTACAGGTACGTTTCTGTTCTTTAAAGTGAAATGTTCTTGATGGTTTAGGCAAATTGACAGAGCTGCAACACTGATATCACCTGGTCAGAAGCTAATCGCTGCCCTTGTTAGCGTATAAGCTTTTTTTCTCCACCTCATTTCTTAGCAGTGAAGTGATCAGTCAATGTTGGCTAGTGTTTATATAAAGGGGGTTTTAAAGTTCTCTTATCAGTTGAGGTTATCTAAGATTGGCATGTTATGAATATATGAGAAAAATTCGACTTGAATATATCAGTTGAACATTTCATTTCATGGCTGATATCCGGTGATAATTCTTTGCAAGACGAGGTCAGATATCCTACTTTTTTATGATACAGTGCACTGAGATTATTTTGTTCCATTTCATTTGAGGGTGCAATTTATTTTAGAGCTCTATATAATACATACAAGCCAGCAATTATTTTATTAATACATTCAGTTGAAATGATAGAAAACGATGAATCATTTTCAAAAAGTTCTTTATGGTGATTTCAATTCATATTTTCTATACAACCAACAATCCAAGACTCCCAAACATTTAGTTCTTCTGTAAGTAATGACATTCAGAAATCCTCTTTTCATTACAAGCTTTTAAACATCAAGGGGTAGGACATTTAGCTTGAAAATGACTTAAACTATCAATGGTTTAAGACTCCTTACTTTATGGTTTATTTTATGCCAATCTACTGATTTATTGGTTGACTGATTAACTGGCTTTCACACTTCTTTCTGCAGACAGCCTCCCAATCTTATGTGCCCATAAATAAGACCATTTAAGACTATACCTGTTAGTGGTGACATAAGTACAGTGTGATGAGTCACAAGTCTGAATATTTATCTCGCTATAGAGTAGGGTTGTCACAATGCCACGATTAAATGTGAGTAAGTAAAGTACAAAAATATCGGTACCTGTTTTGATACTGCAGAGAAAAAAAAGAAGGCCTAGGTAACCCCAAATTAAGAAATGTCTTATTTTTAATGTCCAACAATTTCCATCAAACTCCTGTACACTGGCTAATGGTGCACTCACACTAGGCAATCTGTACCGTGCCCAAGCACACTTCACCCTCAAAGTCCAGTTCCTTTGACTAGTGTGATTTCCCCGGCACTGTACACTTCCTTGGCCCTGGCACGGTTGGAAGAGGTGTGCTTCAGCAGCGTACAGTTCATGCACGAGCACAAGCCACGGGTACATAACGTGGACAGCCTTCATTATGGAGAAATCCGGTAGTGTTCCCGCTGTATCTGACTCAAATGACTTGGAATTTAACCACAAAGTCAGAAAAGTAGCAGTCATGTTCTCTGATTTGCTGACTTAACCACTTTTTTGAGTCCGCCTGTGTGTAAACTAAACACGCTTCATGATCACGTAAAGCCATGCATGTGTTTTATTGCAACGTTATGTACAAGAGGTAACCGTGCTCAGGCCCGGTTAGTCCTGGAGCAGTGTGAGTGCAGGCCAGCGGAGGGAGACCCGTACTTCAGCGGCCTAAATTGCTATTTTACAACATTTCGGTCCCAAAACGTTGCCAATCTGTCCGTGCAATTAAGACAGTGTCTCTCCTCCTTTGTTTTCTGTCTGTTTGTAAGAAGCACAAACATAACTTTTGAGTCTTTATGAGACACCAAATGCAAATACACAAAGATGATATGGGGTACAGTATCAGAGGGAACATGTCTGACCTGAGTCACTGTAAGCTCAAAGGCACCTCTGCATTCTGAGCACACAGAGGAGACATAATTAAACTTGTAAGTCTAATTGTTCATGTCATGTAAATAACTACATGTCTCTCTCTATCTCTCTTTGTTGACCTCAGCCTGGATCCAGACCAGAAAGAGCAGCTGATCGAAGTGATAGAGAAACTATTGAAAGACAAAAGCACAGTGAGTAAACCCTGATCAGTACAGCAATTCACATGATACACGCAGGAACATCCAGACCACTGGAGGGCGCCCCAGTCAAGCGCTTCTCCCCCTCAGCCCTCCATCACACAGCTCATTCGGCAATGCCACGGTTTGTTAACACCCACTTAAACCCGCACATCTTCAGATGCTCCTTGTTAAGTGTCCATTTGGAAGGAATTTTCGCACTGATGCTAGTGTCAGCTTAATTTTCTCAAAGGCCAACTTCTTCTCTTTTTTTCTTTCTTCTTATTCCTCGAAATGGACCATAAATGAGTCGGACTCTCAAACTCTGTGTTTAGAGGCATCACAGACACAATGCAGACAGTTCATTAGAAGTCAGTAGGCAGCACATTAATTTGAAGAGGTCACAGTGAATACCAAGGGGGCTTAAATGCCAATTTCAAATATTTAGACGTTGGCCACAGAATGCAGAGTGCGTTGTATTTGTATGTGCATAGTTTGTTGTCATTATGTATTCATAGCGTCTACCTTTATGTTATACAAACAAAACAAAGCAGCTCAGGCCAACGGGGGGGATGGAGAGCCCAGTACCAGATGCATAGCATATTTAGCCCCAGACGCTAACGAAGACAGATGACTTCTACCCTGTTGGAGCTCACATTGTGAATCTGGGGACGGAGAGAGAGGGCACTATCATCACACAGACACACACACACAAGCACTATCAGCCGCTGATGAATGGTGGAAAGCCCAAACACAGTGGACACTTAACAGCTAACAAGCCATGCATTTTTATGGTGCTAGGACGGCAGCATGTAGCATTTAGAAGTCCCGCGACAAAGGTCGGTCGGGTTGCTGTTTTATTACCTTCTCCGCTTGGCAGAGAGTGAAGAGATGTATGGTTGTCCTAGAGTTGTGTTAGAGCATGCAGAGGCTCCTGGTGTCACCGAGTGAGAACATGTGGGGGGATGTAAAGGAGGACTCAAACACTTTGTACATAAACAGCAACGTTCTTGTCGTGAGGAGTGCTGCAAAAGTCTGTTTACAAGTCTGACAAATTAACAACCCTGAGTTTTATTTTAGCTTTGGGTTTATGCATATTTTTTAACTATTTCACTATTTTATTTTCGTTCCTCTCTCTTGCAGCTGTATCTGTATGGTTTAAAGACAATTAACAAACTGAAATCCAAACAAAAACTCCAGCTGACAGTTTAATGCTTGAATGGAAAAATAAATAAAAACATGTGAAAGGACTTTTTTTTTTAATAGAAAGTTGGTTGGAGAGTATAGTTTGACACTGACCATAGGTAAAAAAAAATAGTTGCATTATATTTGCATAAAGTGCCTCTAAGCTGTGTTACTTAGTCAGTGTTTTATATTCTTCAGTTAATCAGATATCGTGATTGTGGTGGAATATCTGTAGTTATTTAGATTATAATGTACAGACGCCATTAGGTTTATTCACTGTTCTCTAATGTCAGTCAGACCTGACAGAGTTCAGCTATGATTTGAACACCAAGGACAGCTTAGAGAGTGTCAACTGTTTTTCCTGATATCTGCAAGGATGTTTGGTAGACTTGTTGTCTGCTCCAGTGTTATAGACGTCACAGATTAGTCTAGGTGGGTCAATGTGACACGGCCCTGATAGTAGTAATGTCTTTTGGGATATATGTGATGCCTTTTGAAACGTTCCGCTGATGTGATTGAGCAAGACACGAGAACAGAAGTGTGATGTTGAATCATGTCTCCTCATGAGTATTCTCAACGTAAGCCATCTGAGTCAACTGAGTTTTCTTGTATGGAGTCAAGTCTTAATAATTTTCCTCAACAGTGATGTATGGTTATACGATTGTCTTGTGGTTTATTTATCATCTGAGAATCGCCGTATCATGATTTTATAGTTATCGTGCCATGCGAGTCGTATCATTTTGTGACATATCGTGTTATATCTTTATATTCCACCCCTAGTAATGTTGCTACATCCTGTTTCAAAGCTCTATTGTTACTTATTTTTTAAGATTTCACTATAAAAGCAGCATGCTGTAGGTTTGTTACAGTTTTCTGTATGTGAAGTTAATCACCCAATTGTACGTCAATCATTAGACTAAAGACTGTTAAGCAGATGTCACTGTGCTGCTAGAAGAAGGAAACATTTGTTTATTGTTCAGGCCGCTCCTGACATTTACCTTTACAGATGTACCTGTTTGGTTAAATGGCTGTGACACACAGGGAGGGAGGGTGGTGGTGTGTGTGTGTGTGTGTGTGTGTGTGTGTGTGGGGGGATGGTATAAGGGGCTGCAAGATGGTTTAAAGAGAAAATGGGAAGGTCTGATGACAGAGACAACATAGGAGTTTGTGCAGCTGTTTTACCGTGATGGATCTATTATCCAGCCATTACAAGATAAATGATCGATCCCTCCCATCCTCCCTCCCCCCTGCACCTTCTGCAAAATTGAAATGAGAACAGGAAGGAGGGGCAGGGGGAGGAGAGGGGGGCGGGGGGGGGCTATGATTAGGGGCTAGGTGAGATGCCCATTAATTTAAGAGAAAAAGGAGGGAGGAGGAACGAGAAGCGAGCGAAAGGGAGGATAAGCCGACCCCACACCGGGCCATCAATCAAAACGGCGCACGTTGTCTCTGGCGTGATGACCCAGCACTCTCTGCCTCTCTGGCACCCTAATTAGAATTCATAGCAAAATAGATGCAAGGAAACGGTTTGGGCCCTTCATAATTTTATAGGAAATTTATTGTTATTAGAAGAACCATTTGCTTAGTGTGATTTTTCCATTACTGGCTTGTCACGCAGGGTAGATAATATGGTTCGAGGAGGAGGGAGGAGGGGGTGTGAACTCCATAGATTGGGGTGTCAGTTTTGTTGATGGTGCATGTAGTTTACCTTGGAGCGTGTGTCTAATGGGGGAAGTTGGTGGAGAATGCACAAAGCCTTGCTGAAGGGATCTACACGCTCAGATATGAGGCTCCCTGTAATAGCCTTGGAGACAGGAGAGGCTGATAGGGAGGACGCCTGGGGAGAGTGACGCAAAAACCACACATCAATACATGCTGAAAGTACATGTTCTAATTGACTTCTTTAAGCAGATTCATCTACAGAGTAATACGATCGCAGAAATATTAACCGAGAAGTAGAGCTGATCGATATGGGATTTTTGGGGTCGATACCGATATCTATGTTAAATCTGATACCGATAAATCAGCCGATATCTTTCTTAGATCTATGTTCGATCTTTACTGATACATAGATACAGATTTACACGTTTGTAGCGTTGATCCTTCTTATGCATTTATCAAACACTTGTGGAAATGATATACAGTATAATAAAGACAAGCTGGTCACTCAACTGGAGAGTAACTGTGCATGTAGGCGCATCACCGCTTGACACTGTGGAGAGTGATGATGCTTGTTGTAATCCATATAGCGCCCTCTGCTGGTGAAAGACAACTGCTAGTGTAATACAATACAACTAATTTAAAGGTCTAGTTCCATTCTAGCTCATAAACTTTGTACATCTACCACAAATTTAGGATTCAGGGAATTGTTCTCCCCTCTCAAAATTGGTAGTAGTCTAAAAAAATCCAAATCAGATCTGCCTATTTTTATACAAATGCACTCCTAACAATAATAGTATTTACAATTTCCATAGACTGAGTTTGTTTTATTGTGTAACTCCACCAGCTGCAGCTACCTGCACGTGTCCCTGCTTCTACTTGAATGTACGTAGAATTTCAATAACTTTATAGAATCAGTGTGATGCCATCAAATGTCCTAGTTTGACCCTCTAGTAATCTATTCATCAATGATAGAGTGTGAATGAAGCTAACTGTCATTTGGATTTAAAGTCCAGATTTCTCTCTTCAGACAGAAGCTATTCACACACACACACACACACACACACACACACACACACACACACACACACACACACACACACACACACACACACACACACACACACACACACACACACACACACACGTTCTCACACACAATCAATGCAGGCTCATGACAATGCTGATGGGTAAATGCACCGGGTTCCCACAGGGGCCACCAGGGGCCACCAGGCTTTAATTGGGAAGACCAGATTCTGCTCCCCTCCTTCTTCTTCTTCTTCTTCTTCACCCTCGCCTGCCCATGATAATGCTGTTTGCATATTAATACACCACCATGTCACTCACTCAGTCTCTCAGTCTGTCAGAGAGCCAGCAGGCAGAGAAGAGGAGGGGGGGGGGGGATGCAACAGCCAAATGGGTTTTTTCCTTTTACCAATAAAGCACGGTTGATTATTGGCTCTCTCTCAGCTGCTGCGGCTGCCTCCTCCTTGTCATCTTTTCTCCGTAAATTGAACCTAAAATTAGTTTTGTACCGGAGGTAAAAAAATAATTTACAGCAGAAACCCGCTCAGTGATTGATTTCTAACACAGGGTTGTTTAAAATGAGTCGGTTAAAAGTAAAAAACTCAAAACATTTTCCTTCCAATTAACAAGCGTTCTACTCATAGATTGAACCCTGTGTATTGTAATCAAAATGTAAATTGGCATTGTGCTTCTTTAAGTGCAATTATAGTATGTTTTTGACCAGGGTCATAGCTGTTAACCAGCGTTGTATTTCCCTAGAGTCTGTATATTATGTATTTTATTTAAGAGTTCTAGTATTTGTTCAGTTTGTCTAATGGAACAGCTGCATCTCTGAACAGCTTCAATCAAGTCAAATGTTAAAGCACTTAGAAAAAAAACACTATTTCCCTCACGAGTTGGATTCTCTCTCTTCTAATTTCTCCTCCCCATCATTTTTTTTTGTAGCTGGTAGCCGGCAGTGTGGTGATGGCTTTTGAGGAAGTGTGTCCGGATCGTATCGACCTGATCCATAAGAACTACAGGAAGCTGTGTAACCTGTTGGTGGACGTGGAGGAGTGGGGACAGGTGGTCATCATCTCCATGCTGACGCGCTACGCCAGGACGCAGTTTATCAGTCCCTGGAAGGATGTAAGGCACTCAGTAGATCAGTTTGCAAGCGTCATTGATAGTAAACAGGCTTTTCCAGATGAATCAGTTGAATGCTAACTACTCACCTTAAAGGTCTCTGCACCACAGGAAAGTCCCACCAATCACATCAAACTTCAAACTTTTCTATAATCAAACATTAATCCTTAAGTTTAACGATCCAATGTGAATCAGTTTGGGATGTTTGACAGAGTTTAATTCTCAAATGTGGTGTAAGCTGTTTGTTATGTTTCAGGGGGCCATGTTTGATGAGAACGAGAAGGCGTTTTATGACTCCGACTCTGAAGAGAAGAAAGACGAGACAGAGGCCAAACCGTACATCATGGATCCAGATCACAGGCTGCTGCTCAGGAACACTAAACCTCTGCTGCAGAGCAGGAACACCGCTGTGAGTGAGCTCGGCTACTAACAACTGACATGAGTTACATTTCCATCCAGAGTACCCCATCATGTTTCCTCCTACTTTTCAAGGATTGCTCCAGTCTGCTGTTGTTTAGGCTGCTGACAAATCAAAAAGCTTGGGACTGTTTGCACAAGGTGTTTTTGCTTGCAAATTTATGAATCACTATCCTGTAACACAAACGATATAGAGCAGATTAGGCCATACCATCTTAAAATATGAGTACAGAGAATCTATAAATGCAACCAAGACATCTTTTAACAGGCAGAAAACGTTTTACTGTGGGCTTTTTATGCTTTCTTTGAGAGACAGGACAGGGGATAGAGTCAGAAATCGTGGGAAGTGACATGCAGGAAAGGATCCACAGGTCAGATTTGAACCAGTGCTGCCCGCCTGGAGGACCACAGCCTTCGTACATAGGGTGCATGCACCAACCGGCAGGCCAACAGTGCCACCAACAGGCCGAAAACTTGAGTAGATCTGCACTCGACTTGAACCCCATCTTCCCTTACTTATTGTGTTGACTATACAGTAAAGGTGATGCTCATCTAAAGCAGTTTCAAAAGTTTCAGAATCCACCATTTCTTCTCGGTAAAATCCTCAATAGGGCCTAGACTAAATCATTCTTTTGTGTTTCCTATGCCTTCATCTGTAATTCCCTTGATTTGAAGTGTAATCAGCAAAAGCAACATACTGGTTTCAGGCAAGCAGGACCTCTGGTGTTTTAAACAATTAAACAGAAGTCCAAAAAATCTGTTAAGAGTTATAAACACTTGTGATTTTAGCCTCTGCCTGTATCTCACAGCTGTCTTACAAATAAAAGATACACATCAACTCAGTCTGCTTTCAACACACTCTAATGTTCAGCAGTAATGCATTTTAATTTCCCTTTTCTCACTAAAATACAACTCGCACACCTTGACACTCAAAACAAAGAACCTATCAGAACATGATGACAAACCTGCTACAGTGCACCTCCCCTAAGATTGGAAAAAAAAACACACACCTAGTGAGCGCAGATCTCCATCACCCAGGAGCCTCAAGGTCTCTGTCGCTGTGTAGCAGCGGGAGGAAAAATGTTCCCAAATGAAAGTGTTGATTAAAATGTGACATGCTGTGTCTTTACTCGCGACGACACAGTGACATCCTCCATCTTCATAGACGCCTGAACCCCGCTCATTCTGCCTGCAAGGATGGACACACGTCTGCCCGCTATTTAAAGCTCGGCTGAAAAATGACTTTTATAGAGAAACGTCATGAGTGCCTTTATAGAGCCTGAAGAAATGCATGTGAAGGAGGAGTAGTAGTTTGGGTGGTGATCTGTGTACCTGCACTTATAACAATTCAACTAACTTATAACTAACAACTAACAATTCAAATAATTTGAACATTTTATTGTTGCACATTGCTTTTAGGATGTTATAATCAGTAAAATGAAGGAACGTTGAAGTGTGTAACAAATACTGTGGTGGTTTGAAACTGAAACTAAAATGAAACTAAAAAGCAAGAAAATCAAAGTAGCTGATTTATGAACGTTTTGGGATTCATATGAATTTAAGTAGTTTTTTTCTGACTGATTTTTTTTAGGTGGTGATGTCAGTCGCTCAGCTCTATTGGCATTTGGCTCCTAAGCATGAAGTCAGCATTGTAACAAAGTCACTGGTTCGACTGCTAAGAAGCCACAGGTAATACATCTTTTGACTGCCTTCTCCTGAGTCGGTTAATAAGTAACCGTTTATCTCTGAGTCCATGTTGATGTCTGATATCTTCTTTCTGCACAGAGAGGTTCAGTACATCGTGCTGCAGAATATCGCCACGATGTCCATCCAGAGGAAGGTAAAGTCTGCATGCACACAGTTCAACTATAATGGTGTTGTACGCTGTTTTGCAAAGGCTCATAAATAACATCTATTGTCTGCACACAGGGGATGTTTGAGCCCTACATGAAGAGTTTCTATGTGAGATCGACAGATGCCACTCACATCAAAACACTAAAGGTATTATTCAGCACCATGCTCATATAGTAGAATAGATATTTAACATCCTTCTGGTTGTGAGGTATATTTGTTTTACCTGAAGGAAAGTTTTGCAGTTTGTGAATGTGTAGAAATGATAGAAAGTGAACGGTTAGGTTGGACAAAAACAATCATGACACTTAGCACAGCTTTGAAGTAGCAAACTGCATGAAGGTGAATGCATGACACCTTATTTCTTTATAACCTTTTACACAAAGATGATTCAAATTGTTTTACGTGTGGAAAGAAAATGTACTAAATGCACTAAAAACAACAGAGTACCCACAGTTCCAACACTGGCAAAAATTCTACTTCACAAATTCTACTGAAAAGTAATCATACTAGTCATTTAAATTGTGGAATCAAGGCAATACTTTCCCAAACTTTGTTCCCACATTCTTGCAAATCTCTTTGGATTTACGTACAGTAGTTGAATTCTTCTGGCAGCGTTGCCACAGGTTTACAAACAGTGATACACGACCAATAGATTATCACATCTTTCTAAACACCATTAAGCGAGCTCAACCTCTTTTTGACCCTTACATGAACCCATAGTTTAATCATCCTCCATCATTTTGTTTTCATAGTTGGAGATCCTGACGAACCTGGCCAATGAAGCAAACATCTCTACTATCCTGAGGGAGTTTCAGGTTTGTGCTCTCATTCAAAACCATTACTGGTAAATACAATCAACTATCAAGGGTTAGTATATACCTGTACTTTTATGTTTCTGGTTGTTTCCCTTTGTAATCCATGCCCTCTGTTCCACTCGTGTTATTTCCAGACCTATGTGAAGAGCCAGGACAAGGCGTTTGCAGCAGCTACAATCCAGGCCATCGGCAGATGTGCAACGAACATCTCAGAGGTGACGGACACGTGTCTCAACGGTCTGGTGCTCCTGCTTTCAAACAGAGACGGTAAAACACCTTTAATCACGTACAAAAAACTATCACAGAGGGGTCACTGTATTTATGTGAGAACTTGCTGTGTTGTCTTCTTGCAGAGACAGTGGTGGCCGAGAGCGTGGTGGTGATCAAGAAGCTGCTTCAGACTCAGCCCACCCAGCACTGCGAGATCATCCGACACATGGCCAAGCTCTTCGACAACATCACTGTATGAAGCCTCGTTCTATTATTGATCCGACATGAAAGTTTAGACACAGACAAGAAGTGGAAATACCCACCATGATGTCACCAACTAGTTTGTGGACTACCATTTTTATTTGGCCTTAAAGGAAGAATATGTGATTTTCACACTTAAATATAATAGAAATCAAGTATATCCTCTGAAAATAACTCTGAGTCATGACTGTCTACAATGGGTTAACACCCGAGTCCCACTGTCTGTGATGTTTTCAGAGTTTTCAGAGTCCTATCTTCAGTTTGTTTACATCGCCAGGACGGCCGGCTGACTCCTCCCCTCACGTATAAAAGTTGTTTCATTGAGGGACTAGAGAAAAGAAGAATAACATACTGTACTCACTGCTTAACTGTGTTTCTAGATCACGCTCATTTCAGGTAAATTTACATGCAGTGTGAAGATACCAGCAGAATAAAGATCACTAGCATTAGCATGCTAACACAACAATGCAGCGCGAGTTGTTTTGGTTTCATGCTGGTGCTCAAGGGCGACACCTGCTGGATCAAAAAATCGCATATTCTGCCTTTAAGAAACTGCACATTGTGGTGTTTGCTGAACGAAATGAAAGCAGTCACACAGGAAGACAATCAAAATATTTTTTTCCTCTTTGAAGACCCACAAAAACAGACTGCGTCTTATAGGCAGGGTGCCACTTACATTCCTCTATGCTGCCATCCCGAGTAACTCCGGCTCATTTTCTTTGATTTGTTACCCAAACCTGCAGGTCCCGATGGCCCGAGCCAGCATCCTGTGGCTGATGGGAGAGTACTGTGAGCGGGTGCCCAAAATCGCACCTGATGTCCTCCGTAAGATGGCGAAATCTTTCACAGCGGAGGAGGACATCGTGAAGCTGCAGACGGTCAACCTGGCAGCCAAACTTTACCTCACCAACTCCAAACAGGTATATGAAACATTAATACCAGGAGATTTATTCCGTTAAACACACTGAAAATCGGCCCCTCACTCTCTCTTTAACTTCTCTCTCTTGCCGTTATTGAACACTTGAACACAACTTAGATCCCAGTTTAAATATAGAGCAGTGAATGAGACGTCCTGAACGTAATGGAGCCGTGTCTACAGCCTCATTCAGTGAGATGGGGTGATTCCGGCCTCTGAGTCGGGTTTATGAGCCCAGACGCTGCTTCCTCAAATGAACACAATTACGCCTTTTGCTTCTCCTAATGGGTCAGGGACGATACAAAAGGAAGAAAAGGGTGGGACAAATCTTTGAGTTTTAAGATCCAAACCCGACATAGAGTGAGAGAAGTGTATCCAAACATTGTTTCTTAGAGAAAACAAAAACAAACCATGTCTAAAATGTTGCTTTAACACATTTTTTTTGTTGTTTTCATCCTCAAGTTTAACTCACGAACAGCAGACTCTTAGTTCACATACATGTGGTCTATATATTCTTCTATAGCATGTGGAAGGTAATGCCATCCTTTAGAGTGTGTCAGGATGTGTTTTAAATAAGTTTTATAGGTTTTAAGGTACTTTAGCTATAATGCTCATGAGTGCTAGCTTAGCTCATCGCCACGTTCATACAGCCTATGTCTGTCACGGCTTGTCCCTAGCTCCCATACTCTTTTGCTAGTTTTGTAAACTACTAAGTTCCTACTTCTATCGCTGTTTGATCGCGAACATGTTCTAACCTCTCGCCCTAGACCAAGCTGCTGACCCAGTACATCCTGAACCTCGGCAAGTACGACCAAAACTACGACATCAGAGACCGCACGCGCTTCATACGGCAGCTGATAGTGCCCAACGAGAAGAGCGGCGCCCTCAACAAGTATGCGCGACGCATCCTGCTGGCCCCCAAACCAGCGCCGGTGCTCCAGTCTGCCTTCAAAGGTACTTCATAACATTCATAATAACAACCTCTTATCCTTGTTTTGAAACTTATTAAACCCTCTAAATGGACTGAAAGTTTAAGATTAGAAACCTTTCCCCTCCGGTAATTCATCTATTTCTCGTATATATGTGGCTCCATTTGAAGAAGTATGCAAAGTTGATTCAGGCAGCGATTTTATTATTCAGCTGTGTCTGTCTCTCTGAAGGGCAGTTAGGTCAGACCCCCTTTACCTTGGACTAATGAGATGGGTAAATAATTGAGCTAATGCTAACCTTTTTCAGACACTCAGAGGGAAGAAGAAAAAAAAACCTCCTCCCCTCATTTAACTGTCTCTCCTCTTTCTCTCCCTCCTTGACAAAGGCGACAGAAACGGCCTCCTGCTACATTAAAATTCAGCAGCAGTTTGCACCTACTGGATGTTTATGGAGAGCGTTAACCACCCCTGTCATTCTTAATATTCACTCCTTTTTTTCTGTTTTTGGTTAGCAAAGCAGAGTTTTTAGAGCTTCCCTCCCCGGGCACAGACACTGATTATCCTCCTGTGTGTGAGAGAGGAGAGAGGAGAGTGAACAGGGGTATTAAAAGCTTCTGAGATGAGGTTTCACGGCGTCCAGAGTTTATATTAAAAGTGTTTTAATGTATACAGTGACATCAGCCACTGGCTCACTCATTAAGGAGATAGAAAGGAGACTTTGATTATCCTTCATCTGACATTACATGTTACATTTTATTTTCCAGTATATTAAAAGAACATCCTCCTTTTGTTGGCGAGAGGAAATAATCAGACCCTTTTCTTTACTTAAAGCAACATTACCTCGTTGTAAGAGATACTATATTACAAGTAAAAGGCCTTCATTAAAATGTTGTAATAAAAAAGTATGTTTAATCCTGAAAAAGCACTTAAAGCATAAAGAGTAAAAACTGTTTCCCCTGTGATGGTTTTTTTCTATTTCATTTTCTACTGTTGGAGTTTTACTAGGAAAGCATTCACGCTAATTGAGTAGTTAACATCATTTCAAACTTAAAGGCTTTATATGCGATTTTTTTTTTTGATCCAGCAGATGTCGCCCTTGAGCACCAGCATGAAACCAAAACAACTTTTATCTTTAACTATTATCTTTATTCTGCTCGTATCTTCACACTGCATGTAAATTTACCTGAAATGAGCGTGATCTAGAAACACAGTTAAGCAGTGAGTACAGTATGTTATTCTTCTTTTCTCTAGTCCCTCAATTAAACAACTTTTATACACGAGGGGAGGAGTCAGCCGGCCGTCCGGGCGATGTAAACAAAGTGAAGATAGGACTCTGAAAACTCTGAAAACATCACAGACAGTGGGACTCGGGTGTTACACCCATTGTAGACAGTCATGACTCATAGAGTTATTTTCAGAGGATATACTTGATTTCTATTATATTCAAGTGTGAAAAATCACAGATAAAGCCTTTAAATACATCACTAGTAAAAACGATCATGATACCTGTTTCAAACTGAATGACTTTCTGTTGCAGGTAAACTCTTGTTTGTAATGTCGAATTTGTGCAATTTAGACAGCTCTCTCTCTCTGTCTCTCCCTCTCTCTCTCTCTCTCTCTCTTCCTCTCTCTCTCTCTCTCTCAGTTAAAATATCAATAGGGTTAGTTTGTTAGTGTACAGAGGTGATAGTCCTCCACGATCTGCAGTTAATGAGTATTTTGACTGTGGATTAATCTGCTGATTGGTTCCTTCATTTATTGAATCATGCATGTTTTTAGTTCTAAAAGTGGGGAAGAAGTTTATCACCATTGCCAGATAACAGATAAAGTTACACAATGCTTATTTCGTCCAACAAACAGTCCAGGCCTCTTGAACAAGTGTTTATTTTCCTCCCTTAAAAACACAAAAAATACTTTTGTGCTCGCAGATCGAGACCGCTTCCAGCTGGGCACGCTCTCTCACAGTCTGAACACCAAAGCATCGGGATACCAGGAGCTCTCAGACTGGCCTGAAGTCGCTCCTGACCAATCAGAGAGGAACGTGGAGGTCATTGAGCCGGTAAGAAAACCTGCCTGCTTTAAACACTCTTTAATTTATAGCTTTTTAAAGAGGCGAGATTCGTCCTCTTAACTGTTTGTTTGTGTCTGAAATGAAAGAACAAAATCAAAAGGTTTGTTTTTCAGAGAGGGATGTTATTGATTGTTTTGTTTTTTACCCTGAGCACCAACGTGAGCTTCATCATTGTTACTTTTTGTCAGCTATTCAGGGTCTTAGTGAAATGATAAACAAAAATAAAGCAGAGAGTTCAACCAACTTTATTTCCCGTCTAAATTTAATTTAGATTTAAAATAAAAGATACTTAGAAACATATTAAATCTGTGTTTACCTCGAGAAAACAAATAACAGCAGAAAATAGTGTTGTTTTGGTTAGTTTGTCATTTCACTGCATCTCAATTAAGTGCTTTAAGAGGTTATCAGAGTACTCTCTAAACATGGTTAGATTGTTTTTACTTCTGTGAATATTTTGTTTTCCTCACATTGTGGAAGAAGACACCCGAGTAAGGTGTTTGAATATTTCAAGAAGCTGTCAGTATGCTCATCTCAGAAATGATTAATCTTAAGATGTTGAATCCCCTCATTTCCTTCTACCAGATCAAAGAGTGGACACCGATAGTCGGGAAAGCTGGGAAACCAAGAAAACCAAATCTGATGAGAAGTTCTACTCGGACGATGAAGAGGAGAAAGAAGAGGAAGGATCAGAGAGCAGCGGGAGTGAGGACAGCAGCAGCAGCAGCAGCAGCAGCAGTGAAGGTTTGTCGTCGTTTTTGATTCATGTTTACGACTTAAGTTTTGCTCTGTTGGGATGATTTATTAAAGGTCACATATTATGCAAACATGTTTTTCTAACACTAATATGTGTCTCTAGTCTGTCTTTAAACCCCCTAATTATCAGAAAAGTCCATCCTCTCCATATTTTTCCTGCTCCACTTTTTAGAAAATGTGCACTCAAACAGGCCGTTTGGAGATTTTACCTTTGTGACATCACAAAGGGCAGTAACCCCTCCCCCAGGTGGGTGACACTCCCACAGCTAGGTGCCTAGGTGCTAGGCTGCCCTCTGAGTCTGCCTTCTCACAGTTACAATTAGGCATGGTGCAAAAAAGCCCAAGTCCTTCCAGATAGGGGGCGTGGTCAGACACAGCTCATTTACATATTTAAAGGTACACACACACAGAAACTGCCTGTTCTGAGCAGGGCTGAAATAGAGGGGTTTATAGACATGATCAAATACAGGATCAGAGTGGATTTATTTTTGTCTGAAGAAACTTCAGACAAAACTATTTACATGCAAAACATAATTACACACATATTCTAAACTGACTCCTACAGGGAAATTTAAGATGTTTTTTACATCCTTTCTCGTGGCATACGTCAAAATGCACACAAAGACTTTGTATTTGGCAACCGTAATACAAACTCATATACTGTAAGAGGTTATCTCAGAATCTAAATAAATGAAATGGCTTTTGCATGATTTGAAGTTCTTAAAAAATATGTTTCCAACATCACACAGGAGTTCAACCAATCAGGTTTGAGTTTGATCGCATCCTTTGTTTCTGTTCAGAGTCGGGCAGCGAGAGCGAGGAGGAAAGCAGCGAGGAGTCCGAAAAGACCTCCACTGATTCTGGACAGAGCTCCAGTGGATCCGAAAAGAGCTCCAGCGAGTCGGATTCAGACCAGAAGAAGAAGAAGACCAAGAAGAAGACCAAGAAGGCACCACAGAAGAAGAGCAAGCCCACTGCTGCTGACAGGTACAGTGACATCCCTCCTGTCTGTCACACTGTTAGCCGTGTCTCCAGATGTTTCCTGTTTCTTTCTCTTCTTCTCTTTCTCGCTCACCTAATTAGGCAGGTGTGTGTTTGTGAGAGAGTGCGGAGTCGCAGTCAACAACAAATGTGATCAGGGCTTTGCTGCTTCAATAAGCTCAAAGTCCCATCTGTTCGCTACTTCAGCTCTTTTGATCATCTTCATGACAACCTACCTGCTGGCACCATACCCCCTCCTGTTCAGTTGGAAAATGCTCCAGTGAAACCACAGACGCTTTATCCAGAGTGTTTGCCATAAAAAATAAAACAAAGAACAAAGTTTGTTTTGTGTCTGGTGATGAAACAGAAGTTATGGAGTCAGATGTGATAGATTTGAAAAATGAAACACAAAAAATACAAGATGTGGTCCTTTAGAAATACTCATGATTTGATATTACTGACGATAAATCTCAAGCTAGTATAGTAATGTGTAGGTAGCTACACTTTTGAACTGTTGAACATGTATGACTAAAGTAGGAAAAAGTGCATTTAAATCTTATTGAACAACAAAACGCTTCAGAAAATGATGGGTAGATAGGAAGAGAGAGATGCATTTTATTGATCCCAAAGTGGGAAATGATGGTGTTCCTGCAGCAGGTTATCAGAGAAAACAGAGCAACAGAAGAATAATTACACGTTTAATGAACACGAGCAATAAGCAAAGATGAACATGCATCCAAAAATTCAGCTTAACATAAGAAATAAAGTCTCTTTCAAGTGTTTTTATTCGAGCAATTCAACATGAAATACAATTGTACGTATGTGAATGCATAGTGAGTATATATGAGGCGTGTGCTCATGGGTTACAATGTGCTCATATATATTATGGAGGGCTGTGGCTGAAGGTCGAGGGTTCAATCCCCAGCTCCTGCAGCTACATGTCTTGACACTTAACCCTGGTCACTTTACATAGCAGCCTCTGCCATCACTGTGTTAATGGGTGTGAATGTGTAGGTGTTACATGCAGTGTAAAAGCTCAAGTCCATTTACTATTTACCACATCAAAAGAAATTAAAAACTCCTCCTCTAAACCGTAAATATGGGATGTAAACAAAAATACATAGCCCATTGTTTGTCACGACGTAATTATCTGTCGATGATAGTTAGGTTATCAGATCCTTCAGGTGAGATGCTCTGAGAGAGGTGACCATGACCGTTCAAAACTATGGTACTGTAAATACACCTTCTCTGTCCCTACTGTCTCTATCTCTCTGACATACACACACACACACACTCACACACACTGGAGGCTGGCAGAGCTGCTGGAATATCGTTAGTGTGAGTCCCATTAACAATCTAATCAAGGAGAATTTTCCTCCTGTAGCGTAACCCACATTTACATGGCTAATGGATAATGACTTTTGATTGGTCATTTAGCAGCCTGGTGTTACCAATGAATGAGATTTGAGTCATTACTACTGAATATGCTCACACACACACTCCTCTAACACACCGGCACATTTAGTTTCTTATGCACTCTACTTCATTGGCTCATGGACACACAAACACACACACACACACACACACACAGAACGTACCTGATTTCTGTGTGTGACAGGCCGCCTGCTGACCCTGTTCTCTCCATTAGAGAGAATAATTAGAGCAACTCACCCCAGTGCTCAAACACACACAAACACGCACACACACATATACACACAGTAATTAGAGCAGCTCACCCCAGTGCTTCCACAACAAACACAGCATAATGCCCTCATTATGGCCCAGTCATTTCAGGCAGGGCCTAATCAGGCCCACAGTGATTTATATCACTTTTTCCTGTTCGCAGCAAATGAAATCTGTAGGCCAAATTAATACTGGCTTTTCATCATCGCCCAAGTTAAAAAGCCAGTTACCGTCACAATTCCCCTCATTAATTTAACAGCGTAAAATCCCAGGCAGGCGGAGTAAACACTCATTATCAGGACAAATTGAAGAGGGACAGAGCGAGTGGGAGAGAGAGGGGGAAAGATGGGAGAAATCTCTTTTTGACTGAATGCAACATTGAATTAATTTTCCAAAACAAAAACAGATTGATTGGTGTTGCTTTGACTCGGCCAAAGCCAGAGCTTTCATTTCAAATGAAAAATAAGAAACTGCTTCGTTCTCTTTGCCCGGTGGTTAGAGTAAAGGAGATTTATTTTTGGGGATTTTTTTTGCCTTTATTTAGAGATAGGACAGCTGGAAATCGGGTAGAGAGAGAGAGCCGGGGATGACATGCGGGAAAGTAGCCACAGTTCGTTCTCAAACCCTGGGACACCCCATGTTTGGAGGACTATAGCCTCCATACATGGGGCGTGTGCACTGACAGCTACGCTACCGCCGTCCTGGTTAAAGTAAAGAAATCAAGTTTATTTTCTTTAAGCTGGAACTACAACATAGAGCTGTGGACATGCAGCAGAAAAAGACAGCGGATGTGATTTCTCTCTCTGATCACCTGCATCACATGTGTCTGCAGGGTAGAGAGCTGGGTGCACATCGTCCACCTGTTTATCATAAAATACACTTGGGCTGCCGTACATACAGCTACAGTCTATTTGTTGTGGTCTTCACTTTTAATCTGTTTCATAACCAAACTCCTCCGAGTGGCTTTAAAACAGACCATAAAGTAAATGTTCTTTACATTTGATGGATTCTGGGACTTGTATTGGAAGCTTTTCTCAAACAGGTTTTTTGTTTTTGTTGTTTTTTTTTTGCATTGCAGTGACTCAGATGAAAACGGTAACGGACCTGTGGCCCAGGCCAGCAGCTCGTCAGCCGAAAGCTCGTCCGGCTCAGAGTCGGACTCTGAAGACGACTCGGACTCGGACTCAGTCGCACCGCAGAAGAAGAAGAGCGATGCCAAGTCCAAACCCAAGGTGACACTTTGATTAGATTCATTCCAGAAGTTTCATTTGCTGACTTGCTAAACTGTCTTTTGTACATTCTCTTTTTTGGGCTACAGTTTATCGATCTGTCAAAAGAGTTCTGGGAAGCTTTTGAACATTTCTATTGTTTTTAATGACGGTTTTGCGGATAACCATGACTAATAATGGAATAATTGGAAGAACTGCAAGTATACAAATCAGGTTTACCCAGAAAGATTTCTGATTGTGGAATATGATTTAGCTCCTCTGTTATCAACATGATTTCTTTGCTTTATGTCTCCTCACCATTTCCCTGTTACACTCATCTCTCTCTCTCTCTCCCTCCCTCTCTCTCTCTCTCTCTCTCTCTCTCTCTCTCTCCTCCTCTGCACTATGAAATTCTCATTTCATACAGTTTGTCATTTGGACATGGCCTATGAATTATGCATCTTTCTCTCTCCCGTCCTTCTTCTCTTGCTCATGCAGTTTTCCGTTCACTAACACGGTTTCAGTCTCTATTACAAACGCCTGAAGATTTGATAAGATACGGCCTCTAACTTTATTGTTTGTTTTCACTCTCATTCCTCACTCCGTCCTGTTGTCTTGTGTTTTCTTTTCTTTTCTGTCTACTTAGCCTGGAGGATGCAGAGTGGAATTTTATGGTTCTTTATGTGACACTTGTGGGGGTTGTGGTTGTTGAGGAAGGTGTGGAGGAAACGTGATAAAAGCGCTCTTATGTTTTATTGAGTCTGATGAAGTGTAAGCTAGAGGCTTGTGTTGTAATTTACACAAGTCAACACCTGACCAGCCCGACTCTGTAGCACACGGTGGCATGTATGACCCGACAGTATGCATGAATCGTCTTTGGATATTTTCCTAAAAGATCACATTTAAATGAAAAAACAGTTCTTGTAATGAATGTGTCGGTTCTTGAGAGACACTGTCGGCAAACTGAAATATTTCACCACTTTTTCCAGCAAACGGTTTCAAAAATTTTAGCTTGAGTTTCCGTTTTTCTGCCTGGTTTTCTTCTTCATGTGTCATCACATCACTGTGTTTGTTTGTCTTCTCAGGTGGAAGTGAAGTCAAAGAAGGAAGTTTCCTTATTGGATCTGGATGACTGTAAGTTTTCCCGTTGTCCAATAATTCACAACTTCTATCTCATCCATCTTACGTTCACAGCTCCCCTCAACTCTTTCATTCTGTTAAAGCTTCTCAGATTGAAAATTCTTCTCACATAAACCTGTTTCTATCGTCATTACTCTCCAAAAAACCTCGGGTACCAAACGTATTCTACCTGCCAAACTCCAGACAGAGAAAGTTTACACATTCCTAGAAAAGAAAGTCTCACAGCTAATGACTAAGATTTATTTCTCTGGAGCTAAAAAAAAACAAATAAAAGTAAACTAATCGTTTGTCAAGTGGCCAGAATTACAGCTCCAGGTGAGTGCCAGTTCTGTTTTGAGTCAGCTGGAAGCCTAAAAAAGGTAATTTATAACACATTCTCCCCGTGAACTATGTAGGGGAGAGAGGTAGGCACAGAGTGACATGTTTCAAATTCAGTCCTGGAACAGAAAAATGTGTCCAGTCTCTCCTTTGCTTTTATGGTCTCCCTTATTTGGAGGTAACTGAGAAAAACTGGGGGGAAACTGACCAACATTTCTTTTTTTTCAAAGATGTATTTTGGGCCTTTATTGTAGAGATAGTACAGTGGATAGAGTCAGAGAGAGAGTGGGGAATGACATGCAGGAAAGGAGCCACAGGTCAGAATTTGAACCCGGGTCGCTAGCTTGTAGGACCATAGCCTTTATACATGGGTGTTACGAGTTTGCACCAGCTACACACATCAATTCAACAAAAAGCTAGTCCTAACCTGAAGTGTGAAAGCTTAAACCCATTTTCTATTCTCCCCATGAAAACCAGTCCAGTGAGTAATTTACAAGACATAAAGATAAGGACGAGGAAGAAGAGCCTACCGTGCCAAAGTTTCTTTCTTTTTCCCCTTAACTCTCTCACTCTTGACACAGTCACTCTGCTGCTGTGTGTTGTATGTTTTAAACCACAAATCTTGAGCTGATGAGCTTTCCAGCCATTATGTTCCCAACTCAGACCCCAACAGATATGCTGTATATGGGTTTGCCATTATCAGAGCTGTACCCGTTCAAGTTTTCTGATAGGCACTGTTTTTATTTTCCTTTGTATCAATGTATTTCATACAGAAAACAATGCTCAGGGATATTTAGGAATGATGCTGTAAGGTTTGTTTGTTTTAGCAGAGAACGAGAATTAACATGATTTTGCAATTATTTTGCGTCCCCTAATTGGGTTAATTTCAAAATGCAACAAACACAACAGATATCAATGCATGCTAAGAGTCCACACAGGCTTCAACAAGTACTAATACGTTTCTGATTTATTATCTTCTTTCAGTTTCTCCTGCACCCACAAACGCGCCAAAGTCTACAGTGGTCTCTTCGAGCCTGCTGTCTGACCTTGAGGGCCTCTCCCTCTCCAACGTCTCCTCCACCATGCAGGTGAGCTGTATACCTGTGTGTGTGTGTGTGTGTGTGTGTGTGTGTGTGTTTGCATTAGAAACACACACAGGAGGATGACATGTCCTCCGTCTGCGTGTGTTGGGAGTCGATTGTTCCTGTGTTGTCTGACACTGACAGAACAGCACGGCAGCGCGAGTGTGAGATGGTGAAATGAGCCTCTCTCCCTTGTGGAACATTTCTGCCTCAGACGCCAACTATTGACCTTTTCTGCCTTCTTATATTTATAGCCAGTCAGGACGATTCCACCGCTCCCCCATGTTTCCTGTACCTCTTATAGTCTGTCTCTCTCACCCGCGCTGTCTTTTGCTCTTCCACACCCTTGAACTCTATTTCTGTGTCTCATCTAGGAGTCCACTCGCTCTGCTTCTCTCTCTCTCTTATCTCCCTCCTCCTCTCTTGTCACCTTCCATCTCTCTCTGTCAGATGTTGTGTCCCTCGTGTCTCGGCGTTGTGTATATCTGATGGTTGACCTTTCAGAGTGTGACGGCTCCTTTCTCTCCTCGCTGTGTGAGCGGCTCTGTACGACTGTGGATTTTGTATCTCCTCCCCCCCTTAGGGATGAACATGTCCAGACCTCTCTTTGTGCTGTTGCTGTGTCTATTAGAGGCGGGTCTGTGATAACTCTGCTGCTTGAAGATGGACATTTTTCTGTTTCTGTTTTTTGGTGTGTTCATCATTCATACAGACTTTTGCATGCACCCTTATCATGGACTTCATGTCAATTTGATTGTGTCATGCTGTAAATAAATTACTCTTGATTAGTTTTGTTATGATACCAAAATTTCGACTTTGACAAGTTTATTACCACAATACTAGACATTGAAACGATACTTGTTTGAAACAGGATGTCCATGAGGGTTTGTCACATTTTGGAATTCACATTTTTAGTATCATCCTTAAGTGTAAAACTCAGAATCGGGTTATTGGCCAGGTATGCTCACACACTCAAGGAATTTGACTTTGGTGAACTGAGCTCTTTACGTACATTAAATATCAACAATAAACACAATATAAAGAAAGGCTAATATGTACAAGACTAAATAAGACAACAGTGCAAAGGATGCTGAAATACACATGATGATAAAGTATACCATGTGTACAGATCACAGGGGATAAGCATCACCACTCACTCAAGGTGAATTCCTGATAATATCCTGCTGGGTTCTCACATCTCAGCTCACTTAGACCTCATGAGGAAAAAAATATATTAGGTGGCTGACAGGAGAAAGTCCGGAAAAAGTCAGAGTGAAAAATGTGGCTGTTTGCGTTTACACATGCAGCTCACCCCGAATATTTTGCACACTTGCACATAACTTTATTTACAAGTTGCTTCTGAGAAAAAGGGTCGGCATTCTTAAACTCCTTTTTGACCAATCACATTCAGGGGGGTGGCTCACCTTACTCTGTCCAAAAGGTGACAAAATCAATCAACTCTTGAGTTAAAGAGTTTCATTCAGGCGCATACATTAAGATAAAGAAGCCAAACAGGTAAGCAGCTGACATCCTCAGATATGAAGATTAAAACTGTTAATTTGAACCCGGTACAGCCGTCTAACCAGCCTCAGAACAGTCCACTTTCTGGTGTAGCTTGAAGCTTTGCAGCGGTTTACTCTATATTCTGAGTCTGCCCGGCAGTCCTGCCCGCCTGTCAGTCAGTATGATTGACAGCTGCTCTCAGGCCAGCGTTTATGCAGTCTTGTTAGTCGCTCTCTCCTCCTCCTCCTCCTCCTCAGGTGAAGGCCGTGCGGTAATAGAGAATAGAAATGCAGATTAGAAACAGGGAACTTTTTGCACATCAACATCTGATTCAGAGTCAATTCTATGCATAAATACATGATGGGTATCGGGATTCATAGACAAGGGTAAATAACCTCACCTTTATTCACACACGCCCCCTCCCCCCCCCTCCCCTCTGCATGCACACACTTACATATCAGCTCACACACACACACACACACTGGCCCCAGTGTCATTTCTATTTCTCAGCAATCTGCCCACAGAGGCAGCGAGTCTGTCTCAGCTGAGCGCTCGGGCCCTTTTAGAGAATTACTGCATGGTTATCAAAGGCATTTAGATTAACCCCGGTCACTGTCTTTGACCCACCTCCTCTCCTGTCTCCTCATCCTCCTCCTCACTTTCTGCATGCTACCGCTCTCTCTAATAACATTTTGACATTAGGATCTCTCACAAATGCCTCTTAAATCCCACCCCCCTCCCCCCCAAACCTCTCCCGACCGCTGTCCATGTGTGCGGCGGGGTTGGAGGAGGCTGATAACTTTTCATTCATAATTAGCAGCCAGCGAATGGGGCTGCTTTGGGGGGAAATTGAACTGTCAGCGGCGGGGCGCAGGGCATTTGACCCCATCACGCCCGGAGGGGGCCATCATAATTTGTTCATTTGGTGTCCATCAGGCGGGCGCCAGCTCTGCCCCTCCTCCTTCCCCGTCTCCCTCCTCACCCCTCTGACCTCCCCAGTAGTGGGCGCTCCGGGTTCACGTCTAATTATGAATCAGCAGAAAGACCCCGAGCGCCACGAATATAGCAGCCCCCTGCCCCGCAAACCTCCCGCTGCCACTCAAACTGCAGAGATTGCCTCTTAAATAGGAATAAATGCCCACACAGAAAGAGCCAGTCAGAGCAGCGGCACAGGTACGTAGTGGACACTTTAGGAAATGTTTTTAATGCAGCTTGTTTGGGAATTTCATTTGTTACTAGTTTGTTTTTGGTGCCTGAGCAAACACAGGTTTAGATCTCTGAGGAGGCTTTCTCTTTCTGTTGAAGTCACATCATATGTGTATCCTTTTTCAAGGTTTCATGGGTTCAAGTCCCTAAAAATATTAATCATCATGGTGTTCCCATCATCTGCAATAAACTAAGACTCCCTTTTGTCACAATACTAGAATTTAAACTCGGATATGATACTACTCAAAATCTAATATAAACCTGTTTCTTTATTTATTGTATTTTACATACTTTATTAATTCCTGAGGAGAAATTGTGTTTTTTTTAAACAGTGCATGTGTGTATTTCGAGAAACATGTCTCTCAATAACAAACAGGAACTTTGGACATGCATTAGTGGAGCGATGTCAGAGTGAGGGCTGCTGCAGAGGGAGCGCAACAGAGCTGTTCAGGGTTCGATGCCCTGCTAAAGGGCACATCAGCAGTACTCGGGAAGTGAGCTGGCACCTCTCCAGCTACCAACTTCCATGTTTTGATAGGCACCAGTATTTGATCCTCCGGTTCCCAACACAAGTCGCTACAGACTTTGCTACTGCCGCCTCGATATCACAGTTTCAAATAGAAGTCACAGTCACCCTCTGTAGGGGTTTTTCTTCTTTTTAATTACAAAGAATTGCAGCCGACCTCCGGCCCAAAAACATTAGCAATCTTTCTCTTTTAGCTTAATATGTAACTGAAGATCTGTAGATTTTATTAGCTTCGATACTTACGATAACCCTTACCCTAACCATTAACAGTATTTTAAATAGACAAGGAGCTATTTTTGACATTGTTCCTCCATATAAAGTATATTCAACCTATGAGTCTCCTGCCCAGTGCAAAATATGTGTCACTGAAAAAAAGGTCTTACTCATCAACAAGAAAATACAAAAGTGTATAAAACCTGATGTTCGCTGGCTTCCTGCGACACTTGGACATCAACTCCCAGTAAAACTAGCCTAAAGTCTCATCTTTAATGATACTTCTGGCTTCCCCTCCCCCCACCTTCTCGTTGATGTCAGCTTTATCGCTTCAACATTTTCACTAAAAATCGATTTTCACAATTGTTTGTTGTTTCTATCAATTTTGAAACGTTCCTCTTGGCATTAGTCAAGAAATGTAAAGTGGTAAATGATTGGTTGTTGCAACAGTTGACAATTCAAGGCAAAGCTCCCGAGTCCTGTTAGGGACTTCTGGCTCATGTCGTGCGGGCCGTCACCCGAAATGAATGTTAGGGAAAACCCTGCTGTTGTTTCTTGTATTACAACTTATAAAAAGGACCCCTGCAGTACTCCTAATCCCCCCTAGGGCTACTGGTATGCCTGTTTGAGACACACTGGGCAAGACAATTAATAAATTAATGAGAAAATAATCATCAATTTAACGGATAAAATGTTATTAAATGTTCATGCTTATACACACGAAGTGTTCGCAGTGTCATTAACGATGACTCACAAAGCTAGATGAAGGACAATACAGTTTCTGAATAACACTCCTTTGTTAATGCTAACGTCCTTAAATGAAAAAAAATTCTAAATTAATTATTTCCGAAAATCTAATTTACTGACAAATTGGCGTAAATGAAGTAACCTCTGTCTCCCCGTGTGTTTGAAAGACTTCTTGTACATTACAGTTTAAGAAGGCTGTAGTAACATTTGTTTAATTCAATTTGCAGTCAAGGTCTTTTTCACGTCCCCTCGATTAATTGTCATCCCCTGACTGAGGGGCCCAATTAGGCCCCTAAAGTCAAACACATGTCCCTTACCTTAATCCTCACACCTCCTGTCGAGCATAATGAAATCCTGCCCCTGCTGTCTGAAAAACACAAATGGATTTTCAATATACGCCCCATACATCTCTCCACTTTCTTCTAAATTGGCCGTCTTCTTTTCTGCACGCCGCACAAGGCTACCCGGCTCCTGTAAAGCCCCCCGTTTTTTTTTTTTTTTGAATATGTCAGCTGGATTTTCAGGTCATTTGCCAGAGAGGATGCTGGGAGCGTGGCGTCCGGGCTCTGAAGGTGACTGCTTGTCTGTGTCATCCATCACCGGAGCTTCCTTTAAGTTGATGCATAATAGAGCCTCTCAATCAACTTCCTCCCCTCATTGTCACCTCCCTCCTGCCCGTCCAGGGCGGAGAACGCGAGCCAAAGCACTGACAGAGAAGTCAAGGTTACATCCCTCTTCTTGTCTTATTTACACTTGAGGTGTTATGGGCTTGTGCTGCGTAACATGACAACAATGGATGGATGAGTGGCGGGGGCGCGTGTTGGGCAACTCGTGTCAGGCTTTTTACTGTCCGCTGTGTCAAATTGGTGATAATAAGCGTTTTGAAGCCCGTGTCCTGTCTCTGTTCCTCCCTCTCCAGGCGACAGACAGGACCTTGAAGCAGGATGTGTCTGTCAGAGAGGTAAATCAGCTGTTGTGATGGGGTGGCAAACATTATGGCCGAGCTTTATCGACACCGACTGCTCTGACACGTACCAAAAGTGGCCCGATAAATTTGCAGGCTGGATGGTGGCGTGACGGGCGCCTGTGACGGGCGCCTGTGAGGGGCGCAGCGACAAATGTTTGTTTGACCTCCTTCACAGGCGCTCGGGTGGTCCAGGCACTAGAGAGACTGCTTGTTCTGTCAAGGGGACTGAGAAGATAGTGTTGTGATCAGACGCTTTATTCTGTGTCGTATTTGTCAGGTGATTCTTTATGGAATGTTTTTTTTATTGGTGCCGATATGACAGCCGGCTGTGACAAGCCCCCCAAACCCATTTACCTCCAAACAAGACGTTATCTTGGTCGAAATGTGCTCTCCCTGTTTTTACTTACAAAATGATCATATCATGATAGAAAATCAAGACTTAGGGCGCTGGTGGCACGGTGGTTAGTGCGTGCGCCACCATGTATGGAAGCTGTAGTCTTCCGAGCAGGCGGCTCAGGTTCAAATCAGACCTGTGGCTCCTTTCCTGCATGTCGTTCCCCACTCTCTCTCTCTCTCTCTCCCCCATTTCTGACTCTATCCACTGTCCTATCGCTCCATTAAAGGCACAAAAATAAATCTTTACCAACAAAAAAAAAGAAAATCAAGACTTTTTTTCCCCCCAACTTGTTCTTCCCTCAAAGGGGAGCTGCCAAACAAGAACGTAACCTTTAAGCATTTTCTAAAAATAGCGAAATGTCCTTATTGAGCTTTTATGTAAGTAAACATCTTATCAGGATTACAGATGAAGCCAGACTTTGATTTTCTCTATAAAAATAATAGTATTATAAGTTGTTTTTTGTAGCTTTTATTGGTAATTTCATGCTGACTCCTTTTAGATTCTTCCAAAGTAAGAAAGCTAATCTTTAACTTCATATGTCTATCAAACCTGTTGCTTTTTCCCATCTGGCTGCTTCGATACAGTGACAGTTGAGCCCTCCCACTCTCTACTGTAAACACGTTTGAACTCATCTGCAGCGCTCTTGTTGTTTGTCAAACTGATCCTTCATCCTTACATGCCACGAGACAAGTCAGAGACTCCCTCTAACGTTTTCCAGAACACGTCCAACATCAATAACACAATGTACACTGACACCACTCGACACCGTGGTGCCTTCACGTCTCCACCCTGTTTCTTCATATCAAACTAGCAGACATTACTAATTGGCTTAATTAGCTCCCTGGATCTGTTTTTCTTCCACTGGCTCTTGTTTTTTTTTTTCATATACTGTTAACGATTCTTCTCTCTCCTCTTTGTCACTTTTCTTTTTTTTTTTTTTAAGATTTATTTTGGGCTTTTCGTGTCTTTAATGCAGAGAGAGGACAGTGGATAGAGTCGGAAACCAGGGAGAGAGAGCGGGGAATGACATGCGGAAAGAGGCCACGGGTGGAAGCGAACCCGGGCCTACCGCTCGAGACGAGAGTCTCAACACATGGGACGCCCTAACCATTGCACCACCAGCGCGCCCCTCTTTGTCACTTTTCAACTCCAGATTTTCCTCTTTTTTTTTTGTTGTTGTTGATGCAGTTAATACCTTTTTTTTCTGGATGAAGTACATGTGAGTGCCGCTCCCTCGTCCATGCACGAGAACGTTTAAGTGTTTTAGAAGGTGTGAGAAGGCTGTATCAATCCTCATGAGTAGTTGATGTTGTAAATCGTGACAGACGGACAGAATTTCACTTTTAAGAAGTCTGAAGAAAGACTCTTAGTTCTCTTTTTTTATAGCTTTGTGTTGATAGATGCTGCAGAGATGTTCCTTTAGTATTATGTCTTTATGCTAATGCTCACATTTTTGACCGCTTCTTTATGGTCAAATGTTTTGGTGTATTGCCAACAAATACATTTTAATTTAAATGTCGTCGAATAATAAAAATAAGTGTGTGACAATTTCCACTTGACTCTTGGCCTATTGGCCTTTCTTAAATTTTATATTTGTAAAATTATTCAAATGAATGATTTTGTCTTTCAATTGAAAAGATGCCTGAATGCTGACGGAGATTTAAAGAGGAAACAATAAGTCTAAAGTGGTACAGAAAAGGTGGAAACTGGTGCTTAAGAATTCATTAGAATACTGGAAAATAAATATTTGGAGCCCCCACCCCCCACCTCCCTTACATGGTGCAACTTTTAATTATATTCATCTATATGATGGCATTTAACAACAGGTTTTTGTTAAAGACATATTTGCATATTTGTCAATTGTTTGCATACATCACTGATATATGCATACTGATAAAGAGAAGGACACAGACTAAAAGCTTTATCTTAACGTAATGTTTTAAGCCTCAGTCTCAAAAGTAGAGAGGGTGTCTGCCTCAGATAGACGATGCCCAGGCAGAGGGGCCTGATAGACGGGATCTACCTCCCGTACTAGTTTTAGACACTGACGTTAGGTAAGCCGGCTCTCGTTCTAACCCTTATAGAAGCTTTGGGTTAAAAATATGACTGAAAATTGTATTTTTTCCAAACATGTGGGATCATAAAGTACTTGTTTTTCTGCATCTTTCTGAGCGAGGATGCAGCTGATTTCACGTACAGCTTCCCCCCCTTTATTTCTCTCTTGAGAGCTTCCACCTGAAGTGAAAGACAGGAAGTCATCGAGGGTGAATGACATTCAACCGGGTCAGGACATGATCATTTTTAGGAGAAAAAAAACAAAAACCTTTCTTTTCCATATCTCTTAAAGCTAATACAATTTCCTGCCTGTGAAAAGGTAAAAGCTTCTTTTATAAGGCCTGCGAGTGGCAGGTTTGGCCCATGCAGGCACTTGTGTTTTCCATTCATTAGAGGTTGTTTTTATTCAGCCTGGTTCAGCTGAGCATCCAGCCCATTTCCCTCTAACTGGGCTTGATTGAGGACATGTCTTAAATGGGTTCCTCTTTACCCTACAGAGTTAATGAAAGGAGGGTTGGTAGGGGAGTTATCAGCCAAACCCCTTTGGTCCCACTCCACTCAGGAGTGCTGCATTCTTCCTGCTGATTGGTCACGGTGAATTGGATTTATATAGGTTTATGGAGATTCTTGTATTAATCTGTCCTCCCGTGTGGTTGCATTTGTGCTGTAATGTACGAGGCGTCCCTGGATGTCGCGTTGTTGCGGAGCGCTTTGTGCTTGCATGGACTGTTTCTCTCATCTTTCTTCTCCGCCTCTGCTCTCAGGCTTTTGTCTCCAGCAGAGCTTTGTCGCTCAATCCAGTCCATGCTGCGGGTTTATTTCTCTGATAATCAAAAAAGTTCATATGCACCGTTATAAATCACATGTTTAGTATTCCTCTTGTCTTTATTTGTCCTTCTAGGTCACCACTCCGTCTTTCTGCCCCATGAAAACCTACGAGCTGCTTCACCATATGAGCGGAAAAGGCCTGTCAGCCAAGTACCATTTCCCCAGACAGCCCTGTTTGTACGAGCCCAGTATGGTGTCTGTACAGGTCATACTGACCAACGGCTCGGACCACTGCTTAGAGGAGATCCACATAGGAGACCGCAGCCCAGGGAGCCTCAGTATCCACTGCTTCAACACCATCGGTGAGTCAAATCCTCCACTGCAACTAAGCAGCAAGAAAATGTAGGGTTTGTTAAACGTACCTGCTTCACAGCTGAGTTTGAGTCAAATCTCATTGGTGGATACATTCATGGAATCAAGTATATCCAATACATCCCCTACATTTCTGACAAACATAAAGACAAAACCATTAATTGTTTCTGGAAACGTCCATCAGGGAAACCCCTTTTGCAGCAGACCTTTTATTAGATTTTATTTTAAAGGGTAATTCTCCCGTTTGAAGCAGTACATAAGAAGCTCTGTCGTCAGATTCATATCACTAAATCATCAAGCATTTCTTCAAACTAACTTGGGAAAATGGTTTTCCTACGAAGACCTTATACCCCTCCCCAAGATTTAAGATGAGTTTTAGGCCTAGTCCACCTGAGGCAAGTATTTTTGTAAACTGAGGTTTTTCTTTAAAAAGCATCTTTTGGAAAAAACCTTCCAGGGTGAAGAGTTCCAGAAACACAGTTTAAAGGCTTTATATGTGATTTTTTTTGATCCAGCAGGTGTCGCCTTTGAGCACCAGCATGAAACCAAAACAACTCGCGCTGCATTGTTGTGTTAGCATGCTAATGCTAGCGATCTTTATTATGCTCGTATCTTCACACTGCATGTAAATTTACCTGAAATGAGCGTGATCTAGAAACACAGTTAAGCAGTGAGTACAGTATGTTATTCTTCTTTTCTCTCGTCCCTCAATTAAACAACTTTTATACACGAGGGGAGGAGTCAGCCGGCCGTCCGGGCGATGTAAACAAACTGAAGATAGGACTCTGAAAACATCACAGACAGTGGGACTCGGGTGTTACACCCATTGTAGACAGTCATGACTCACAGAGTTATTTTCAGAGGATATTCTTGATTTATATTATATTTAAGTGTGAAAAATCACATTAAGCCTTTAAGGTGTTTATGTGTATTTGAGGAAAACTGTGTTTTGGGCTTGTAGCGTCCCACTGTGTGGAAGTTTTCTCCTCTGTTTGATGTCATTGTGCGACGCTGTCACTTTTGTTTACATGAGATTAGAGCGATAGCAGACGTAACCAAACTAGTGCTCCAAACCATGATGACGGACAGAGGCGCCTGAATGGACGACTTTGTCAAATGAAATGGTCATTGCAGAGAAATGTCAAGGACATCGTTTCTGACTTGGCATGCTCAATTCTGCTGTTATCAAACGATGTTTTTTCTCTGTACAAATACCCCCAAAAATATAGTTAAATATGTAGTAACCTTCTGAGTTTTTATGCTGCTCCTTTTTCCAGTTCAACAAAGAAGTCGAGCAGATTTAGAGACAAGTTACAGAAACTGTTCCAACATGTCGACCTCTGCAATGTTGAACACATTTATTCCAATCTATGCAACAACACTTGTCTTTCACGATGGCTCTGTGGTATTCCTGCGGCTCTACCTTTAATAGTATTGTTTTCTCTGACAGATATCAAATGATCATTATGTCTGAAACCTTTAAGCCTGCTTGCTATCAGTTCAGCCAACAGCCCTGTCCCCACTCCCCCAACATGAAAACAGCCAATACGACTTCAGCTTAATCCCTGTTCATTAGTATCGATCAGACAAACAAACATGCACCATCTCCATATTTCTTCCCCTATGATCGCTTCACTCAGTATAATACGAGACGGAGAGCACGGGGTTCTCTAGATTTTCTTTTGTCATGAACGCAAACACACACACATACATTCAGGGAGGCGGTGTGCGTTGGAGCATGTTAAAACTGTCAATTGCAGGGGATTGATTGGGCATTGAAGGAACTGAAGCAGCCAAACAGTGGGTAATTTGGATCGATTGAGCCCGGCCACTGTGAGTGGCTGGCTGCAGTCGGTTTGGAGAAGTTGCAGAGGATGAAAACAGACAAAGCTTTATGGACTTCTGTTTTTTTTTTTTTTTTGTTTATTTGTGTTCTTTAAGGGATAATGCAAAACAAGAGTTTGTTACCAAACCAGAAGTGTTGCATGTTTACTCTACAAAGTGCATAAGATAATGTTATCGCTCATCTTCAGGAGAAATGTTAATAAACCTGCCATCTAGTAGTTTCTAAATGAAGTTTAAACATTTGGGATTTCCTTAAGCCTGGTAAACACTACACGATTTTTTGAATCTTAAACGATTTTGATAAAGTGAAAGACCCCACACATGACAACAATCCTGACCGATTAACAGTTCAGATCTCATAGTGTGGTGTGCAACGAGACGATCAACTCGGCACACCACACGCTAACCGATTAATTCACCGACACAACGTGTAATCTTGCGCAGTCAAACGCGATTTAAGAGTAAACAAACATGACGGCCAAGCTAAATGTGGCTAGCTGTTAGCTGGTACATCCATCACGGTAAACATTTTGGTGAACTGCCTTCCTTGTCAGTTGGATTGTGGTTTGTTTTACAGGACACGTTGTATATAACTCATGTTGTTGCCACAAATCAACATGTTGGTCCTGAATTCATGACATCCATTTAGCTTGCTGTTGTTGCCATGGTAATGTCTGTTGTGCTTCCTGCTTCAGTCAGCTTGCTTCCCTATTGGCTATTGTTCCATTCCACGTGATAATTCACAGAGTCCGTGCTCGGCCGTCCTCGGTGTTCTCCCCACACGGCAGGATTTCCGATCGTAAATATTGAACATGTTTAATATTTACGGTTTCAAATCGGGGCGGCTCCCGATCGTCTTCCGAGCAAATCTGGGAGGTTAAAATCCCTCCTAACACACCTCACACCACAGGAGAATCTGGCAAGATGATCTTTGGAACATCAGATGGTCGGTCCTTTGCTGACTTTCGTTGGAAGGGGGGAATCGGGCCAAAATCGGCCTGATTATCTCGTAGTGTGTACCCCGCTTTAGTTAGGGTTATTTCCCTATTTTCTTTCTCGCTGAGAATTAGATGAGAGGGATAACATCTTACTCATTTCTGTGTTTAGTGTGTTATTGTCCTGAGTTTCTGCCTTTTCACTTTCTAAACATCTATTTTTAAAGGTGCTGTATAAATAAAAAATTATGACTATTATTATTGAAGAGACGAAGACGACGATAGAAGAGACTGAATAAGAAAGTGTAGATAAGGAAGCATCCTGTGAGGGGAGCTGTGAAGGCTGGATCAGTTGGAGAGTCCATGATGGCTCTGTTTCTGGATGTTTCCCTCTGGAGTCTCTTCTTCTCTTCTCCTGTCTGTGAAAGGAGTTATACTGTAAAACATCCTCACAGCTCCGTGGAGAGAGAAGCACAGGGCCGACAGGGCGAGCGCGGGGAGGATGTTTCTGTCTGTCTGTGCTCCTCTCATCCTTAACCCCCCCTCCCCCTCCCCCCCCTCCTCCTCTCCACTTCAGCATTTTTTGACTTTACTTACCTCCCTGTCTTGCTCTCGTTTCTCCCGCTCTGTCTCCCTCCCTCACCCCGTCTCTCTTGATGCTGATGCCCTCTTTGACAAGCCTCTTGTTTTGGAAATATGCTAGTCCTTCATCTGTTTTTTTTTTCTCTTTCCCCGAGGCTAGAGGTGTGTATGTGTGTGTGTGGGGGGGGGGGGTGAGATTGAAGGATAGATTTCTCACACACGGTGGCCTTGCTTTGCCAAGTAGAAAACACAAGTGGTGTGGATGCCTGTCTGTTCCACTCTGCTGCCCCCCCTCCCCCCCACCCCTCGTATTTTCTCCCTTTGCTCCATCCTTCCTCACGCTGCACACTGTGCCCTTGTCACTCACTCTTCCTTTTTTTCCTCCTCGTCTTTTTTTCCCTCCCCTCTCAGAGCGGCTGGAGCAAGAGGCCTCGGTGACGGTTTCCATGGGTATTGACTTCAGCGACTCGACGCAAGCAGCCAACTTCCAGTTATGGTAAGACAAGCTGACACCCACTCATGTCAAGTCAGTTTTTTTTTTTCTTTTTTTTTGCTTGTACATCTTTTTCACCCTACTGTGTCTCCAGATTCCTCCTCACATCTACTTCTTCCTCGTCAGTTTATTTGCATCTTTCTTTTCCCTTATTTTTCTTCTTCGTTTGTTTCTTTGTTAATTCTCCTTTTCCTGCCCTGCTCTGTACCAGCGCTCTCCCAGGTGAGACATCAGCCAGGATTGATCCCTGGTTCACTCGGATAACAATTATTCCTCCAGTAATCAGCCCCGGCCCAAATCAGCCCGCTTGAATGCCATTGGCACCGCTGCTCAGCCGCTCAATACCCTGATCAGAAAATCTGTTCAGGATGGGGGGGGAATCAATCGGGCCTAAAATGCCATTCACAGAGCGCAGTTTCCAAGGCAATCGGAAGAGGAACATTTAATACACAAAGTGCACAAACACAAACATCAGCCACACAAATCCTTCAGAGTGTTTGTGATTTCAGCTGTCGTCCTGCTCTTCAAGATTCCTGATGAATTCTTCATGTTAGACCTTCTGTAAATGGTACACTCTTTCTTCGTTGTTTTTCCTTCAGCACAAAGGAGAACCAGTTCAGTGTGTCCATCCAGCCTGCTGTAGGAGAGCTGCTAATGCCGAGCAGCCTGAATGAACAAGACTTCTGCAAGGAGCAAGGTGAGTTCAACTTACTTTGTTGTTTGCCAAAGTAAAAGTTTTCTTGTTCAAAGCTTAGAGCAGAAAAAGAAAAGCAAAAGAATCGTCGACTTTTGCATGTGAAGGCAGAAAAGTGTGTTATACTTGTGTGTACAATATATGCCATTAAAACACAAGGTGAAACATTTAAACAAGGTGACACTTTGAAACTATTAAACACCCTTAAAGAACAAACTTATACAAACGCTCTCTTTAAAGTACATCCCTCTGGAGTCATGCAAAAAAGACGCTGTGGAAATCCAGAATGTTCCTACAATGTAAAGTATATAACACAGTATTGACAGTATCTTGCCTTTATATAAACTCCTTCAGGTATTTTGCATATTTAAACAAAAGAGAGGTTAAGAACATACTTGGGAGCAGAAAACGGTGTCAAGGAGCTTCATTGATAATCGTCATCACTCCCGGCAGCTCGCTCGTGGTGAATTTTTGCAGGAATTGAACTCGGGGTCTGTCAGGAGTCACAGTCGGGGTCAAGTTGGGATGAAGAGTTCTTCTGTTTGCTTTCACACATGTAGCTCAGCCGGAGTATTGTGCATCTGTAAAAACACCATGAATGAACTCACATTATAAGTAATGACTTTTTTTTTATAGGTAATGAGGCCTGACCGGCAGATTCATTTTAAGTCCGGCCTGACGAAATGAAGTGCAGACTGGTTTGAACATGAGTTTTTAAATAGTGGAGAGAAAACATGAGACAAGCTTCTGATACACTGATAATACTCAGAGGAAGGTTAAGCTATTATCATTCATTTTTAGGGTTTTAAGGTTTATTTATGGGCCTTTATTTAGAGATTGGACAGAGTTAGACACCGCAGAGAGAGAGAGAAGGAGAGGGGGGAACGGCATGTTGGATAGGAGCCACAGGTCGGATTTGAACCCGGGCTACCCACCCAGAGCTCATGGGGCGTATGCACTAACCACTAGGCTACAGGCGCCCTTCTTTTTGATCTTTTCTGGGATTGTTGACAACCAAACGAAAACACAGGAATATCCCCAGACTGGTTCTTTTAAAGGAGATTAAATAAATAAAGTCAAAACCATCTAAACACATTTTACTGACCCACAATGATTTAATCACCTCTAATAGATAAAGGTGAAAGAAAGTGTTTTCTTCTTATGTATGCAATAGATTTCAATGATGTGTTTTGTACAAATTAAAGCACAATAAACATCTCCTTACCATTGTCATTGAAATGCTCTCCTCTCACGGAGCACTCAGCGGCGTTTCCTGCACAAACACACAAACACACCTGTGAAGCTTTACACTGACGGGGAGATGAGAGCATGTCTGAGCCATTAGTGTGCTCTTAAGTGCCTGCTTGATGCTGCTTCTGCTTTAATTAATCTTCATGCACTGTGTTTGGAGCGCCACTGAATTCAACTCCTGCACTGAGAGAATAAAAAAAAAAAAACTTGTTTTTCTCTCTTTGCAAATTGCCCCTTTCCACAGATCGAGTGAAGTGAATTCATTCTTTCAGTTAACAGGTTTTCATTATATTTGCCTTTAAGACCTCTTTTATGCCCGCCTCACTTGTGCATATTTATCTCCTTTCTTTCTATCAATTCCCTGCTCATTACTGAGAGCACATGAACTGACCATTCACCTTCATTTTGGACTCTTTTTTTTTTAAATATTTCCATTATTTAAGAATTAGAATGAAGCACCCTTTTTATTGTTTAGCCTCCTCCGTTTGAGTCTGTGTTAAATCCATTCAGTCCTCTCATTCTGTCAGTGTAAGCTGTAAAACCAGGCCCCTAAAATTCTAGAGATATTAGATGTATATGGGTCTATAATCATTACTGTTTTGTATTCATTCAGATTATTTTAATTGGACGCACACACACATTGAATTTACTGTCGTAACACGATGAAGCTGCTGCTGTGTTGGTGTAGGTCCCGGCTCGACGCCCTAAACATGTCCATGTTCTTATCTCAGGTAAGCTCCTGGGCATGAACGAGACCTCTGCAACCATCGCCATGGCAACAGCAAACTCCTCCAGTCAGGCCATCAACAAGCACATCCTGTCTGTAGCCAACGTCGGGCAGGTTTCATCCAGCCAGAACAACTTTCACAGGTGAGATGTCCACAATTCAGTTTCTAGTTTTTTGTATTTCATGACAATTGTTGAGACGTTTGACATTGTCTCACTCTAATTGACGGATGTTAACAGATTCCCGTCAGCTGTGAAAAAAGATATGCCCGTCTTTTCCTCCTCACCGTCCTCTTACTGTCACTTACATTACCATAATTATCTCCATGCAATAGCTCACCACTAGTCATGAAATATCACCCCGAGACTTGTGTATGTGTTGAAACAAAAAAAGCATCTTACTCTTACCCCGCAAAGAGGAGGTTGCAGTCATTTTAAAGTTTATCAGCAACCTGGTTGTCACGTTTCCGTCTCACTTTTAGAATCCATTTTTAAAATGCTTTTACTTGTTTTTTTTAAGTCACTGCATGGTTTCGCCCCTCTCTTATTTATCAGAACTTTTAATCCCTCACGCCCCAACACGATCACTCAGGTCCTCTGAGCGGTCTCTCCTCGTCGTCCCTCGAGCTCAGCTGAAACTCGGGAGCGACTGTGCCTTCTCTGTTTCAGGCCCCCGGCCTGTGGAATCATTTGTCTCCCCTCATCAGAGGCGGTAACTTATTAAAGTCATTCAAAGCACAACTCAAAACCTGTTTTTTTTCCCCCGGCCTTTGAAATAAGTTCAGAAAAATCCAATATTTTATTTGTTGTTGTTGTTGTTTTAACATCTTGTCTGTCTTGGTCAGCTGAGGCTGTTTTGAAACATGCTACACAAATAAACTTGACTTGACTTTTACATTGAACCCAACAACGGCAGAGTGTGTGACATTACAGTGTTACAGAAACGAGCCTCCCAACAGAAAGCAGGTTCCTTCAACCACGACCAACACCACACCCACTGTACTCGTCTAATTCCCGTCTCTTCCACTGACTGTGTGTGTGGAGGATTATTAGGCCTTAGACCCTCCTGTCCCCTGTGCAGACCCGCCTCACAAACGGTTTCACATACAACATGGACACAGTTAGTTACGTCAACTGATATATTAAAAGCATGTCCCGACGTTCTCAAAGCATTTTTCTGTATCGTTTTAGATTCATTTTTACACATGCAGAAACACTTTGAATCTCAAGAAAGTGAGATATAGTTGCACAGGAAACAATAAGAAAACACAAACACTTCTTCATATTACTCAGTAAATGTAGATCTTCAAATTCCTTCTGTGACAAGTTAACACCTGGAGATTGTTTGTCTTAGAGTAAGGAGAGTGTGTGTGCTTGATCATCGTGTTTTATTGGATGATTACCGTATTTAAAGATTGTATGTGGGGTATCATGGAGTGAAAATGTCCCCAGCAGCCTCACACACACACACACACACACACACACACACACACACACACACACACACACACACACACACACACACACACACACACACACACACACACACACACACATGCCAGGGGAATGCCCTGAGAAGCCTGGCTGTGTAATTGGTGTACACAGAGTGTGCTAATGAGCTTCCTCCTCTGTCACGCACACCCGAACACCTGATAGATAATTACACCTCCCTCTCTCCCTCTGTTTCCTGCTCTGTCCCTCTTTCCCTTCATCCCTGCAGCCCCATCTGTCTCGCCCTCCACACCGCTGTCTCTCTCCCACTTCCTTTGTGTCCTCCTGCACGCCGCTTGTCTGTGCGTCTTTTGTTACGTCGCCCTGTGTTTCTGTCTCCTCGTCTCTGCCGGGGGGGGGATGTTCCTGTTGGTCTAGTGTAGGTTTTTAGGATGCGGTTAGAGGGAAAATGGAGGAGACGGCGGATCAGTGAGGGACAGTCAGAGCAGCACAAGGGCACCGAGAGCTGAGAGAGTGAGTGGAAATCAATGTGAGCCGGTGAGAGAGGCCTGCAGCCAATAAGCCTGTACTTCATATAGAATAACTGAGTCTGTGCTATCAATCTCTCTCTGCTGCTGTGACGGCTGCACACCAAGATGTCGTGTGTCCCCCCCCCCCCCCCCCCCCCCCCCCCACTCTCATATTTGTGATGACACTCCCCATTTTAATATTGTCTGTCGGTGTCCTAGTGGTGACCAGCTTCGAGTTAAGTTAAGATCTGTATTTGAGAGGACGTCATTTAGAAAGCAGGATTTGTTTTCTTTGCTTTGTTACATTTGTCCTTTCAGTTCTTCTGAATGTCCATTTATTGGTGCACATGACTGCACAGGCACTGGATTTCAATTTGACACATCCAATAATTAACATATTGAAGGTTTTGTTAGAGATGCGTCATAATTTTTTAAACAATTACTGGACTGGCATTAAAGTAAATATGTGAAAATGGGACTAATACAGGAATCATTTGAGTCCTTTTATTGAAGGGAAATTTAAAAAAAAAGCAGTCAGAGCTCACAGCAAGCGTGAATATTTCCTGATTTTACTTTACTATTGAAACTATTTTGAGGTTTTGGACTGTCAGTCACGCAAAAAACAGGGGGAGCTGTGCTCAATGGTTGGTCGTCTTTCAACCTGAAGGTCGTGGGTTCAAGTCCTGCAGCCACATGTCTGATGTGTCCTCGGGGCAAGACGCTTCACCCCAAGTTGCTCCCGCTGCTTCACATAGCTGTACTTGTTTCTGGGAATTGATATGATTACAGCGAGTCTGTGATGACAGCGAGGTCTGCTTGTCTTCTTAACAGTTTGTCTCTCTTTTTTTACAACTATTGATCTATCAAGAGATAGCAGACCGTTGCTGTGCGTGATTAGCCAATCAAGGTTGAGAATTTAACACAGGGGTGTAATAAAAGATCATAATATCTCCTACCTCATTGCAGCTGAAGTTGTGATCTCTCTTAGGTTCCCCTCACAGTGCTGGAGATGTTTTTTTCAAATTATACATTTTAGTTTTGTGTTTGACGCCGCTTCTTTCTTTCCTTTGTTTATGACATCTGCGGACTAGTTCATGAATCTTTACATGGCCTAACTTTACTTACTGTTCTCTAAGGCTGACCTTTAACCTTTGACCTGCTGGGCCAGGTGTTGGAAAACTGTGGCAGTATAATCTTCATAACTTCAGCTTGCTATTATTTCAGTGTTTGTTTTAATTGTTGAATTTTTAACATTCAAATTTCAGGGAACCTAATTGGGAAAAGTCAAGAAGTCCTCAGAGATAAAGATGCTTTTTTTTTAAATGTGCAACCAGTTCAGAATTCAATTCACTGCTTTAAGAGAAGAAGACACAAAATGCTGCGTTGGTTGATTGTTTCAGGCTCTTTGCTTGAAAACCGATGGAACAATTTAAGTCATTTTGAGCTGTTAAATTTCAACCTGCCTGAGCTGGTTGTTTTTTTTTTTTTTTTTTACTTCTTCTCTGCATACTTTGAATGGAGCAGATTAATGGATCTGATCAGGTACACCCACTGAGAGCTTATTGTGGAAGTCACTCTGCATTAACTGTGAAGTGTGAGGTGACCTCCATCCAGGACCCACACCCCTCCTCTCCTCTGATCTCCCCAGAGAAAAGAGCCTCTGATCGGAGTAATATCCCACAGAGTATCTGCCCCCCCCCCCTCCCTGGAGGAGTGACAGTTACAGTTCAGTGTAGAAATAAAAGCTGGGATTTAAATATAAAGCCTGCCAAAGATCCAGCTCAGAAAAAAACTCTAAACTGACCTCGGGCAGCTTTGTGTTGCAGACTGGATTCACCACAAGAATGTTGACACCAAGCAACAGTCTCTTTTCTTCCATCTGTATCCCTGCACTCCTCGTGTTTATCAGCAGGGTGCAGCACTGCTTTTCCCAAACAGGCGAGAAGCTGAAGTAGAGGAGGGAGGGGGTGAAGGGGGGAAATGCCACTGAAACACAAGAAATTGATTGCTGGAAAGGAGGATGGCAATAAATCAAGCAGGAAAGCAAATGTAGAAAACGCTGTTCTTGTTTATGTCTAAACAGGCGGAATAGAATAAATGTGCTCTATTTTTCAGTCCGTTTGAAAGCAAATTTGATCGAATTTTGCATGCATTGCCAATCTGTCTGCTTAGAGACTAATTTTCAACAACAACAACAAAAAAAAAAAAACAGAAGAGGAAAAACTGAACTGGTTGATTTATAAGCTATTCTTTCTCTTTACCTTACACTTTGATTTAATTAAATTTCACTGAATTTAGCTTTTTTTTTTCCCCCCTGTGAAGTTGAATCCTTGTTCCTATTTAAAATGTAATTGCCTATCATTTATAAGCTGACTAATTAAACGTCTGGTCTCCGTGTTATTGATTGCTTAAGCGTGCAGATGGCTTATGCTCTCTCTTCAGATGTACCTGCTGTAATGTAGACACGTTCAGCTCAGTTTTTTTTTTTACTTTAATCCTCGGCTTCCTCTTCCCCAATATTTTCCCTTTATCCCTCATCTGGAGTGCAGCGCTGCAGTTCGTCCGTATGCTCGAGCTTTAGAGATGCATGGAAGGTTCCTGGTTCTAATTGGAGCTAATAGCTGTGGCCATCTGCACTCGCAGGGTCTGCTCTGGCCTCACTGACCACTCTGTTGAAGGACACTCGTCCACTTGTCCACCTGCCCACTTGCCCGAGAAGATGGAGTAATATTATGGAGCAGCAGCCACCAACTAACAACATTGAACATGCAAACTGAGTAGCACATATGACAATCATTACACACATTGCATGTTACCTATGTTCCACATTATCCAAAACAATAAGACATGAGAACACTAGAAAGTCATCCCAACACTCCTACAACTTCATAAGATGTCATTTCAAAGCTCCTGTGAGGAGTTTTCAGCTCGTTATAAAACAGACTGAATGTGATATTGATGTCTCTTTATGAACTACAAAAGTAAACAAAGCCATCAGCATAAAGACTGATCATCTCTAAATATGTCACTTTTGTCTTGCCACTTTGTGTCAGACAAAGTGATTATCAGCACGCTTTGGAACCAGACTTTTCCATTCTGAACAGCAGGAAAACTCCTTGAGTGATACTTTTGACACGTACAAAATACTTTTCATGCGCGTACAGGACAAAGTCTGCATAGAGAACAGATGTACTGCTTTGTCCACAGGGGGCGCCAAAATCAATAAAGTATCAGACATTAGCTTATCCAACTCTGACATATGAGCAATTATGTTTCTGCTTTATATTTCTGATATTGGGTTTGAATTAGGCGTGGTATTTCTTTTTGGATATTTCTTCAGTTATTACATGTGAGGATGTTAAAACAGTTTGCATTTGTGTTAGCGTTGGGCAGTAAATGGTCCACTGTGGTCGTTTATGATCTGCTGCAGGATTTTTTTTTGGGGCTGTTGATGATCAATTTCCTTAGAATTACGTTTTTCATCAGCGAGCAGCACAAACGGGCAGCTCAGCTAACGTTTTAGCAAACTGCTAACCATCTGGATAGCATTTAGTAAAAAAAAAAAAAAAAAAAAAAAAAACGTTTCTTGTTGAGTTTGAATGAATCATTTTAATCATTTTAATAAGTCGGGCTCCTGCTTCCTCCCCTGAGTGAGACTCCAATACTTCAAACATCGTTTTAGAGCTGAGCTACACAAACTATAACGTGAGCTAAACCGATATCAATCAAATGATCGGCAACAGTCACGAGCAATATCCTAAGAAGACACTACTTCACTTCTTACAGTTGTGATTTTTTTTTTTTTTTACACCCTCAGATTTCCCTGCATGCTTTGTGAGACTCCTGACTTTGATCCATTAATGTGTTGTTTCTACAGCGAGCCCCATTCTTTAAAGGCTTTACGTTTCTAGAGGCTTCATGTTCTCGCTGCAGGTTAAGTCCTGCATTCTCGCTCACAGAATCATCATCTTCTCTGCGTGAGCTTGAATGTAAAGGTGAAGCCCGCTTTGTGTTCACAGTGGCCGGGTGGAGGGGAGGCAGATGGCACACACACACACACACACAGGCTCTCTCCACACACTGAGGAGAATCACAGATAATTGGGAGAGCGATGCTTAGCCGCAGCCATGCCGATCGATGCCAATCCGCCCGCTCTAAAGTCCAGGGGTTATGCTTTGCTTTTCATTCCATACGCTGCAATTAATCCAGTGTTTAGCCCGGTATGTGAAGAGCACAGGAGAATACCAATGACCCGTTTAAGGACCTGCTTGTCCTTTAATCTTCCTCTTCGACGACCCTGAAGATGAACTGGTGTTGAGTTAGATCTGGTTTTGTTGCCACAAACAGCGACGCGACAATATTCAAAGCTTCAAATAACGAACGCGATCAAAACACGCTCCTGTTTTCTTTCTTTGAACAAAAAGCCCCACAGCAGCGTCTCCTGAGACAGAATGAAAGCAGCCTCAGGGTAGTGTTAACTGGCTGAGTAAATGATAGATTTATATCCTAAATCCATTAGCAAAGCCACAGGGACCACATAGACACCTCGGGCGGCTGATGGGGGGGCTTAGGGAAGTGGACAGAGAATAAGCATAAGTGTGTTAACACCTCTTAGCTAGTTTATTTAAATTGCAATTTAGAATATGACTTTTTTTTTGGCATTAACAGGATTGTTTTGATCTTTTTTACTGGATCTGCAGTGAAATCAGACCTCTGCTGCAAAGGCTTTGATTTCAAGAAGACAGAGTGAGGCCAGTTTGTGCTAACCTGCATGACGTACCAGTGTGTTTGAGGAGTGTTTTAAAATACTTCCACCTGTAGATATTATCTTCTTTTAGTCATTCTCAAGTGTTTTACGATCATTCATAGCCTCTAACGTCTTTTTTTCAGAGCTCCAGAAACATGGAAAGACGGAAACTCTGCTCAAAATATTTATTAAATCAAATCAAGTTAGCCTATCCTTCAATTAACCGTCTGCTTATTTATTTTCTGTTTTTTTTACTTTTGTTTTCTGCCTGCCATATTCCAGGTCGTGTTTTTGTTGTTCATTTGAAAGTGTTTCATCATTAAGTGTGATCAAATCTGTAATGGATAATGACTGAGGGAAACATCCTGAATTCCTACATTAGTAAATACGATGAACGCATAACACACCCCCTGAATAATTTAAAGAAGTGAGCGGCGAGCAGAGAGGTTGGTATTTTTTTTGAGAGAATTAAATCCTCTTGTTGAATGTGTTTCCTGCTGAAGTGGCTAATATTTTAATTAAGCGTGAGGAGGACTCTCTCTCTCCTCCCTGAGAGCTCGCTGATAAACTCCCTCTCCTCTGTTGATGGTAATTTAGCAGCTCCCCTGAGACGCACCCAGACACACTACTGTTTGTGAGCCAGGGCCGTGCAGAGCCCCTTCAGTGCCCCCCCCTCGCCCCCCTCCTTGTCTTTAGCGGGTGTGTGCTAATTGGTGGACGTGTTGGTCTCTCCTGCCGCGCTGCACGCTGTCGCTGTGGGCTCTGTGACATCTCCTGTCCAGAGGCCGGCCTGCAGAGGGGGGGGGCTCTTCACTGGCTTTAGTCAGGCCTAAGTGGGGCCCTTTGTGGGCTGTTTGTCAGGCCTAAGCAGGCTGCCACGGGGGGTCTTTGTTGCGGCGATGTAGCGCTAAATGGAGGCAGATGGCGGGGAGTTAACCGCGTGAGGCCGAGAGATGCAGAGGGGGCTCGGCTCGGCTCCGTCGCCCCCTCAAAGAGGGTCACGCCGGGTCACAGCCCCCTGTCTGCCTCTTGTTAGCTCTCTCAATGGGGACCATGTGTGCCCAGATTTGGCCCCAGGTCTGCAGGGACGGTATCCAAGGAGACGGTGGACCGTGAATTCTCCCGATGGTCCTGAGGGAGCGGGTGGGACGGGGTGGGACGGGGTGGGACGGGGCATCCAGAGGCTCCCAGACCCTCATAGACACCCAGAGTCCATAAAAAAGGGGCTAAACTCCAGTTTGACTGGCATGGAGGGCGTGTCTCGGCCCTAATGGCTCTTTAGTCGGCGGGATAATAGACTGTCTGTTACTCCGCTCGCTTATTTCCTGTCACATCGCCTTCCTTCTTTGTCTCACTCGCTCATTAAGAGTAATTACAAGGTGTGAGGGGGTTTCTAACTGGAGGATTTATGGTTTGAGGGGGAAATGTGAGAAAGTCTTGTATTGAAGTTTTGTCTGTCAGAGTCTCCTGTGCTATAGAGGTCCACTCGGTTGATCAGTTAGGGTCCTCGGGTGGGTGGGCTGGTGGGTCTAGATTGTTGGTTATATTTCATTTGTCTCTGTTGTTTTGATTTTGTTGTTTCTTCTGTCTTTGTGGTTTGTTTTGTTTTCATTAATACAGAAAATGGAAATCCTGGATCTTTGAATCTTGTAAGATCCACCATAAAATATTGAAAAGTGAGAAAGTTTGTAGGTCTTTGGTTGGGCGACAAATGTCTCCCTGTAACTTCTTAAGCATGGTGGTGTACGATACCATACCGTAAATTACGATAGGGTATGATAAGTGGCCTTCAGTAGCGAGGGTATCACATAACACATTCATCTTCTGAGGCGCCCAGAAGATGAAGAATCTGGAGGGCGAGAATTTGGACTCATGTTTTTTCTTCTCATCTTTCAGGTTTGCCGGGCGGACGGTGAGCAGCGGCGCTCTGGTGTTGGTGTCGCTGGAGCTGAAGGAGTCGTCCACCGCCCTCCTCACCATCAACACAGACAAAAGCGTCATGGCGTCCATGTTGCTCCGAGACCTCAAACAAGCTCTAGCCCAGGCGTAGACATCCCCGACCCCTCCTCCTCCTCCTCCTCCTTCCTCCCTTCCTCCACTAGTAAAGGTAAAGGGGAGCAGCACTTACTTAAAGTTTTCACAGACTTTATTTCTATGGTTGAGGACAATTCAGGACAAATGATTGAGGTTCAGTGAACTGGAGACACTGTTCAGAGTATTCATGTAGCGTTTCATGTTTTTCCAATCACTGCTTTTTTTTCAGATGATTGTCCTGAACGACAGGAATAACTCTGTGAACGTTAATCAAGTGTCTATCCACGATTTAAAACACAGAAGTTATTATGGACGTGATAAGAAAGTTAAAATGATGTAAACTTCTCTCTGTCAAATTAAACATGACACCACTGCATCATAAATTCAGACGGTCATTCACCTCAGCGTTTACTTGTTGATCCCATTATGACCTTGACGAAGCACGATTGTGTTCAAACATCTGTACATACGTCATGTGAGAAAGCCAACATTACTCAAAGTACAACAGGCCAAATAGTCTGTACTTTCCTACTACAGGAAACGAGGGCCTGACCGATATTTGATTTTTGGGGCTGATACCGATATTAGGGAGAGAAAAAATTCCAATGCCGATAATTTCAGCCGATATTGCTTTGATCACTCAAATGCTGTTTTCACTCACTTCAAGGAAAAGATTTATAATTAAGAACAGGTTTTTTTTACATTTGGACCGAGGTCTTTGTTGTCCAGAATAAGAACAGTTCACTGATACGCTCATTTTAACTTAGAAATGAACACTGATAAAAATAAATAATGAACTTAAATTGAATACACCAAGTAATACCGACTTATATCGGAGATAAAATAAGCCGATAACGATCGTCATGTCATGTGCTCATATCGGCAGATATAATCGGCCGGCTGATTTATCGGTCGGGCTCTACACGGCGCTCCACAAAACAATCGATGTTTGACTTAATTTCATCCTTCTCACTACCCCTACCTACGAGAGTTCTCAAAAATAAAGATATTTAACAGGTGACTTCTTCATTGCCCCTCCCCATTTCTCCTCCTCTTTCCCTCTCCATCTCTCTTCCTGCTGTAGATTTCCACTCCAGTGTTTCCACTTCCCCCAAAGTCCCATCTCGTAAAGTGCCTTCTACAAGAGAAAATAATGTAATGTAGAAAACCAAACGTATTCATTAGATTAAAATCAACAAGGTCTTTTTATCTGTATCGCTTTATGCTGAACAATAAAAAGTGAATTTATTATAACAGATATATTTTTCTCTTTTCACTTTTTGCCTTTTTATCTGACTGCGTCCGTGTTTACTTCTCTTCGCTGTGATTTCTGCTCATTCAGCTGGACGTGGATCAAACTTGAAACGCAGTAATGATGAGCTGCTAATTAGCAGGCCGAGGCTTAGCACCGTGTACTCATCACATGATGACTTTGATGAATCTGTCACTCCACCTGCTCACACATGTTCCTCTTCCTCTTCTCCAGTGTTTCCATCCAACATCAACTGATCAAACAAGCCAAATCAAATCCCAGTCCATCCCAAAGTAATTTATTTTCCCCGATGTTTCTCACAAATATGCTGCAGAAAACAATGAATACAAGAATCTTAAATGAACCTGAAGAGACAAATGCATACTGAAAACAAAAAGGTGTGCATGTAGAGCATGAAATGACCTCACACATGTTCTGAAACTTTGACGTTGGACGTTTCTGGGGGTTTCCATTACAACAAAGGTAATATTCTCAGGTATCTTGCAGTGGAGGTACAAGCAGTAAACGTCTATGCTAAGTCCTGCAGTGAGACAGTTTGAATGTGTTTACAAGCTGCAACGAACAAAGCTACTCTACTCTTTAAAGGCGCAGTGTCTGTATTCCGCCACCAGGGGGCTTTCAATCAATACAACAACAAAAGATGACGTGGAGGCTGGCGGGGAATCATGGGAGTTCTCTCTGCTACTCCATCCCCAACCCCCGATGAAAACGAACTCTGAGTTGACTGTAGTCATGACGACCGCGCAAAACCGACCCGAGGAAGAGGTCACCGACGAGCCAATGTGTCCAAGTATAATGTACACGACGTTTTTATCACAGCAGCACATACAGCAAAAGAACGGCAGCTTTCAGCAGCAGCTCACGCTTCACGTTTCCATGGCAACGGTATACATGTCTTGTCTGTCATGGCGGGCCGCCGCGACAAGATACGCTAGCTATAAAATGAATTTGGATTTCTTTGGCTTTCATAGCTGTTGGAAATATGTGATGTAATGTAGGTACTCAACAAAAACTAATAAACAGTATAATATAGATTTAGTAATTAAATTAATTTAGATGTTTTTATGTAAACATTGTGGGAAAACAAATCGGCATCTTGTACGTTTAAAGGAAGCCGCTATGTCTCTACTTGTAGCAGTAAACATTTATGAAAACACAGTAATGCTGATGTTGAGATGAGAGTCCATCTGAAGCATAACAGTTTCTGCAGATCCAGCATTAAGAGTAGAGTTTATTAGGGAGAGGCTAAAAATGCTAAAAATGTAACATTGTAGAAGTTGAGTGAGGAGAGAGAGAGAGGCTGAAGTCTACTGTTAAGGAAAGGAAAAGCAGGTATACCGGCCTCCTATATACGTTACCACTGTGTCGAGTAAAGTATGTACGTGATGTGTTTTAGCGTGGAGCGGGCCGGTGGCTTGCTGAGCTTTGCGTCTGGCTGTCTTTTCCGGCTCATAAATAGCGTCTCTCTGAGGGCTGTGGTGAACACCTGTTAGCTCATCTGTCACAGGAGCTCCACTCGCATCCATCACCTCTCCCTCTGTACTCATTCCCTCAGCCAGCTGTTCCCATTACACACACACACACACACACACACACACACACTGCGTCAGGCCTGCCAGATACACACATCACATCATACAGATTCACTGCCACATGGAAGATTTTCAAACATTGACTGAACTCACATGAAAATGTATATTTTTACACATAGGACAACTTTTACTGAAAAACATCGTGTTACATGTCCAAAAAGAAAGTCAGAGTCCAGGAGCTCCTCATCTCTCTGTTGGTGCATAGTTTCATTTTCTTCATTACAATAAGTCAATGAACAAAGAAGCTGCCCGCCATCAAACGTCCTGCAGCTCTTTGTACCTGCTGGTTTTGGCAGGTTGACTTTTACAAAGTATGAAAAAAGACAAACCAGGAGACAAAACCCCCTCAATCAGCGTTTGCGTTTATATTGAATCCAAACTCACTGCTGAAAAGAAAGAAAAGACCGTTGAGTGGTGAATGTTTTGTCCTAATCATGCACCAAAAACCACAGAAAAATTTGCAAAAGAAAAGTCGACATTTGCACGCTACCTTTCCAACTTGGTAAAATCATGAAACCCATGACACACAACAAACACGCAGCTCCAACCACAGCGTCATCCATCTTTATGTTGATGTTTTAAGCTTCTTTTTCTGAACGATGTGCTGCGCAGTTTGCGTCACGTCTTCAATCTTACTTTGAATTTCAATTCAATGGGGAGGAAAAAGGGAAAGTCATTCTCATGGAAGGTTTGTATGTTGTTAAGTTGTGTTTGTGGGTCATTATAATATAATAATGATAATCTTTATTTATAGAGAACTTTTCAAAAACTAGTTACAAAGTGCTTTACAAGGACAGCAAATATAAAAACAGGCAGGTCGTAGAATGTCATTGCGCGGATGTTAGCATTTAGCTCAGCCTCGCAGTTCTGCTTGCATGTCTGCAGACTCTTCGTTTAGTTTCAGTGCGGACAAATCATAAGAAGGCCTCTTTCCAAGGTCTCTTTTTTTTACAGGATTAATGGCTGAATTTCAATATTTAATTGCATTGAATCACAATTGTTATCACGTTTGAGATTACATTAATTTGAATGTGAAAACAGTTTTTGTTACAAAGCTTGAATAATGTCGGACAACGACTAAAAGAAGAGATGAAGCGTGATACGAGGTGAAACTGACACCAAATAATAGAGAATAAAAACATTAATCCTGCAGTTCACCTTTTTTTTTTAGGGGCATTTTAAATTAGTCAGTTAATCAAATATTGTGATGTGACGTTATTTGATTGTCATGCAATATTTTAAATATCGCAGAATCACTCATATTATTGTTGTCAAGGGCAACGATCACACATCACACTGTGGCATGCGTTACCTGCAAAACCCTAGACTTCAAGTCACATTTTAGGGTAGGGGATTTTAAAGGAAAAGGATCCCCTTATAGATACTTGACTGTGTGTGTGTGTGTGTGTGTGTGTGTGTGTGTGTGTGTGTGTGTGTGTGTGTGTGTGTGTGTGTGTGTGTGTGTGTGTGTGTGTGTGTGTGTGTGTGTGTGTGTGTGTGTGTGTGTGTGTGTGTGTGTGTGTGTGTGTGTGTGTGTGTGTGTGTGTGTTGTGTGTGTGTGTGTGTGTGTGTGTGTGTGTGTGTGTGTGTGTGTGTGTGTGTGTGTGTGTGTGTGTGTGTGTGTGTGTGTGTGTGTGTGTGTGTGTGTGTGTGTGTGTGTGTGTGTGTGTGTGTGATATCCATCTCCCCGTGTTGGCACCTGCTGTAATGGACTCTGGAGATTGTGAGAGGAGAACAGGGGGGCTGCCTCTCTCCCCTCAGCATTGCTCTGCAGTGACAGCTTGATTTCTGTCCTCTCTGGGCTGCAGCACAGTGACATGATGGGCCTGCTCAGATGGTCTTATCACGCCGTGTGTTTGAAGAGAGTAGAGAGGAGATGGAGGGGACGTTGGAGGAGAGATTGTGAAGGGGGGAGGAGGTAAAGAAGAGGATCCAAGCTGAGGAAACGCCTGTCTGACCTTACAGCTGAGAGCAACTTCTCATTAGCCGGCGTGTCTCTGATCAGCCGCTCGCTCCTCTGACAGCGGGCGGAGATAAAAGCACAAATTCAGAGGCGGGAAAGTCAATCCATGTTGTTACTTTATGAATCTCCTCCTTTGTTTAGTGAGTTTTAGTTTCTGACGTCTACGAGGATATCAAATGTACTTTTGATAAAAACGTTATTTAACCACCAATCAGAACCTCATACTCTGAATTGATCCAAAGGTGAATTTCTGCTGTTCCATCCGTACAGGGACAAAAGTAGATATCAGAAAACTCAACCTGCAATCATTACCGCATCCATATCTTTAATATGAGAGAGGCTCTTTGAGAAATGTCAACTCATTACAGACGTTACCTCCTGACTCAGCTCGTCATAATATTCCTCCTAAAACCTCGGAAATAGTTCCAAAAAGTATCTTTGTGGCTACTAACCACAGTTAAACAAGTGTCAAAATATATATATATAAATATATTGGGTGTTTTGGGACTGCAGGAACTTCTTCATAGTTCTAGATAATATTGGAACCCGCCTCTGTTTTTTACTGATTTTGCACCGCAGGAACTATGTCAAGTCAAGCCAAGTCACATTTATTTATAAAGCACGTTTAAAAACAGCAGCAGCTGACCAACGTGCTGTTCAATGCATCGAAGAAACAGTTTACAGGGGATTACAACATATACAAAAAAACACAAAATAAAATACGATAGAATAAATAGGAAAGATAATGAAAGCAATAACTGGGATCTGAAAGAACCGTCTATTCAGGACCAGAGGACTCAAATGCTAAAATATAAAAATAAGTCTTTAGAAGGGACTTAGAGTCTATGAACTACCTAAGTTCCTAGAAGGAACCTTTTTTATCTCCTGCTTCAGAGTAGGTACCATGGCCGTACGAATGCAGGGAAAAATAAAGTCCCCGTGGTGTTTAGTTCTCAGGGAACTCCCTAGTTGATAGTTGCTCTTCCTCTTAAGACCTGTGTAGTCCAAAAACACCTCACTGTCTTTGGGTTGAATTTTGGGCCTTCATCAGATGAAAATAGAACGTTTAATGTTTATGACCTTTGTCATGCGCAGAATTGCTCCTGGAGTCAGCTGTTTTCTTATTTGTTGCTGCGCTCTCATCGCTCTCAGTTGAAAGTAGTTCAACTTTTGAACACCGCCGCACTCTCAGTCTCACTTCTACCTCGCTGACCAAATTGCTGCATCAGCGACGTATGAATGTGTATGAATCAATCAGTCAATTTTTATTTGTATAGCGTCAACTCATAACAAGTGTTATCTCGAGACCCTTTACAAAAAGAGCAGTACAAAGACCTTACTTATTGTTATGTTACAAAGACCCGGCCTATCCATCATGAGCACTTTAGCAAAGCAGCAAAAGTTTCAGTGGTAAGAAAAAACTGTCTTAT